TACAGGGACTCTGCTCCCCGTCCATCCATCCAGCTCTGGACAGCTTGGCCTGGACATCCAGTCTCCTGACTCCACACAGAGAACCGCCCTATTCTTTCCTTACCTCTGAATAAAGGTGCCTCCATCTACCTGAACCAGAAATGGCCCGTGTCATTCCTGATTCTGTCCCCACCATGCACCCCTAACGGTTCACATGTGGTCTTGCCACTCAGATCCCTTAGGAGGCCCCCTGCTGCTTATGGGGACACCCCAATCCCTTGTGCTTGGCACAGCAGCCTCCAGTCTATCCTCTGTGAAGCTGCCTATCTTTGTTTTAAATACGAAAAACAGTCCATCTCATTTGCCCGCTCACCACTGACCATTCCTGGCAGACAGAGCAGCTTCTTAGCCCTGTCCACAGACCAGCTGGGTCCTGGCTAGTCCCTCTTCTGCCACCCCTTGCCTTCCTGTTGCCCGAGTGGCCACCCTGCTTCTTGCCTTGGCATATGCTTGGACATGCTATTCATGCTGTTTAGAACATCTCCCGGGGACACCTCCCCCAGCAGCCCTCCAGGGTACCCCCTACCAAAGCAACCCCTCAGGACTCCCTCCTCATAGGACACTCTTCCCAGGGACACCCTGTTGGGACATCCTTTTAAGATACCTCCCCCTTGGACACCCCTCTAGGACACCCTCCCAGGACACTGTCCCCCAACCTGGCTGATGGCAATTGCCCCCCACGGTCTTTCGTGTTTCTACTCAGGCCTGTTGAAACCTGCATCAGCCAAGGTCAGGGCTCTGCAGAGATCTCTCTGGGGCCAGGTCGCCACTTGTATGCCAGGCTGGAGTCTTCCACAGGCGACCCAGTCCTGTGCGCACCGCCACCTTCACCCCTACCACACAGGACCCCGCGCCGGCCCTCAAGCCCACCAGGCTTCCCCCGAGCAGACTCAGTGTTCGAGCCTATGCCCCCGTCGCGTCTTGTTCAGTCTTCCTCACCTGACTATACTGAAAACTGCCCCCAGCACCTCCTGACCTCACCTGTGGGGCACTGATGCGTACTCCCTAACTTTGTTCTGGTCTCAGCCCCCGTCCCGCTAGCACATAGGCCCATGGGGCAGGGGACGGCATCCTCGGCACGATCCCCAACACCCACGGCGTGCCGTAACACTGAAGACACTTGGAAAGTATCTGCGGAGGGTAGGGCCTTGTCCTGCCTGTCGAGAAGGAGAAGACACTGACCATTTTCTCCAGTCCTGCCATTGGTGGATTCTAGCCCTCGAGGCTGCAGGGGAGACCTCCCCACCAGACGTCCAGCTGCCCACAGGCTAATCTCAGAGATCGGCACATGGCAAATCTCAGTGTCTTGTTCTTTCACTCATGGACAAGAAAATGGGGGAACAATTTTGCCACCACTCCAGGGCAATGACAGGGAACAGGCCATTTCTGATCAAGCTTCATGCCCAGCGAGCCCTGGGAGGGAGCCGTGGCAGAGACCCTGAGCCTGGCCCCAAGCCAGGCCCCCGGCAGTGACAAGCAGCAGGTGGAAACAAGCATGTCCCATCAGACACAGGACTCCATGGGAGGGACACACAGAAGGAGACACAAAAGCCAAAGCCATGGGACCACCATCTGGCTGCCTTAGTTTCCAAAGCAGAGCTCTTCCCATCCAACCCCCTCCTCCATTCCTCTCCTGTTCTGGTGCCTGAGAAAGGGCCTGCATCTTCAGAAGCCCCGGGCTCTTTCTAGGGGATCACTGAGTCTTCTGGACGGGGCTCCCCCACCAGCCAGGCCTTTGTCTTCAGGGGATGGGGACCTACATCCCCTTGTGTTCTTCTGGGGACAGTGAATCTCCTCCCGAAAGGCTCAAGACCCCCTTTGCATAACAAAAATCCAATGTCAGCCATTCCCTGTGTAGAAACCAGGTCAGTTGGGAACACAGTCTGTTAAGCACTCAGCCCCGATAAGGCATGAGGTGTAGGATGAGGGAGGAGAACAGTCGTTTATAACACGACGTGTATTTCTGGAAGACCCTCTTCAGAGGCAGAGGCGGCAGTGGGCCAGAAAGAAGGGCGTCACATTGGCTTGTCACTGCCACCCGAGCACCTGCTTCTCCACTGGGGAGTGGGGACTGGACCACACTCACACCTGCCTCTCTGCCTAGCCCTGTGTCCAGCACGTAGCAGGTGCTCAGTAAACGTCTGGGGGTGAGATGGATGTGTGAGTGAAGGGTGAACGTAGTCCCGGGTGAGATGCGCTGATGGGGTCGCGAATGGGGTGAGCCGTGTCTCCGCTCCATCGGCCCACGGAGGCCCCAGGGGGAGGTGCGGGGGGTGGGTGCGCGGTGCTCGCTCCCGTTGGCGTCTCTGCCTCGCTCAGCTCCCTGCATGCTTTCCGGGGGCAGGGGCTGCTCTGGTCGTCTTGGCGTCCCCACTCAGTGTCTGGCACAGAGTGGGGGCTCAGTAAATACCCGTTGAATGTAGCGCATCTCAACTCAACAAACATTTACTGAGCGTCCACTGTGTTGAGAGTCGCAGTCCTACCTTCCTGGGGCGCGCGACAGATGGGTGGCCCCGGGGATGCGGGTGCGGGCGTGCCTTGCCCTGTGCAAGCGCCCTGCTCAGTGACGCTTTTTTCCAAATGGAACTGGTGTCCCTGGGCTCACTAGAGGGGAGGGAACCCTGAGGAAAGAGGAGAGAGGGTATGCAGCCCCCCGTTGGGGAATGCTGCTGCCCTTCCCCGCCCCAAGTTCTCAGCAGGCGAGCACGTGGCAAGGCACACGTGATGGAGGCAGGACCAGCAGCCTGTGTGTTGGCTGCTGCTCCCATGCCCATCGGGAAAGCAGGCAAGGTCTTCAGGGCAGAGGTGAAAGCATGGCTGCAGCGATGCATGGTGGGTTCCCCGCTCAGCGGAACCAGCATCAGAACGCCGTGGAGAGTGGAGAACAGTGCCGTCGTAATGGCCCTAAGCAAGTGTCCGTGAAGGGGAAGGCCATGCACACGCACACACGTGCATGATTTGTACCGTGGAGGGGTCTCCCCGGTTAGAGCGTGGATTTTAGCACAGGCAAGGTGCTTCCTGCCGGCCCGGTGTGCCCTGGGTGAGAAGCACCGGGACCCCAACCGTGGCTGCTGTGCTGCCAGTGACAGGGGAATGACAGTGAAGGCAAGGGGACGGAGCTGAAGCAAGACCTTGCAGGTGTGTGACTGGTCTGTCAAAACGGTGTGTGCACAGCCTGGGGGCCTTGTGGGGGGTCTCCCACCTACAGGGCTCCTGGGACGACCTGGGGGCCCCTGATCCCAGCACATGTGGGCGAGGAGACTGTGCACGGGGACAGGGCAGGTCAGCAGCATGGGGAGAGGGGGCTGGCCAGGCTCTCATCACATGGTAGCTCCCTCCTGCAGACAGGCTGTGGACATGAGTGGGGATCCCTGGGTCAGTGGGAGGTGGGAGTCTGAGCACCACACCACAAGGGGAGGACGGGAAGCCATAAAAGTCCACCCTGAGGTCCCCAGACACTCACTCCCTGAGAGCTCCTGGGCCTCATGGGTAACAGGATGACACCCCAGGTGCAGGGGGCTGTGCAGGTGCTGGGGGGCTGGCACAACAGGAGCCCACCACCTTCCAAAGCCACTGCCATCGGGAAAGAGACCATGGAGCAGCAAGGCCCACGATCAAGTCCTGTAGTGCCCAGGGTCTTGGGTGCCTGGGAGCAGAGAAGATCCCGGGGCCGTATGGCCGCTGCTGGGCTGGTCTGTGCTATGACCTGCCTGCAGGTGGGACGGGCAGCCCGTCGTGTACCCCCCACACACCTGCCCTGGCAGGTCATGCTCGCCACAACCTTGGGCGAGTCGCTCTGGGGGACTGCTCTGACGTGGCCTTCCTGGGGTGGCACCCGCCTGGACACCGGCCCTGAGAGCCCCCATCTAGAGCACCGCACCCTTAGAGGGGCCAGAGGCATGGGGCTCCCGATGTCTGCTCGCAAAGATCACACAAAACAAGGCACCTTCGTTTGGCTTCGAGCTCTTCTTCAACAAATGGCAGCGCCCGGGCCGCCCTTCCCTCTTCCCATAGAATACTTGCATGTGTAAGACAGGTCACGCTTCGGAGTCACGAGGATAGGAATGGCAATGATAGTCTGTTTGCTGAGCATCTACTATGGGCCGGGCAGAGCGCCCACACGTGTCACCTCCTCTGGTCTCTACTGACCTGGCCAGGCAGACAGGTGGGACAGGGGCCCACCGGTGGGGTCACAGCCCAGGGTCCCACGGCCCATCAGGGGCGAGCCCAGATCCGTGCTCGGGCCCATCTCACAGCCATGTCAGCCCCATGTTCTGCTCACACCCGCATCCGCCCTCCGTGTCCCAGCTCAGCCTCATGCGTGCCCACAGGAAACCACCCACTGGGACCCAGACACGCCGTCCGGATCTCCTTAGGGCATCACACCGCAGCCAGCTGTGCCCTTCACCTCCAGCATACAATTCTAGGACCCTATGTAGAACGTAGCCCTCCATCTGAAAACCCCTCCTCATTTAGCCCTCCCAACCCCCAGAGTCCGGCAGCGGTCACATGTCCCATACTCCCTGCAGACAGGGTGTCCCCGTTCCCCAGTGCTTTGTTCAGGCCGAGTGCCGGGAGGCTGTGCCTGTTGTCGACTCCCAGTCTGGACTCACCCGCCTAGACCATGCTTAGATCTGCTCTGGAGGGAAACGGGCCCCCACTTTCCAGCCCGGCAGCCCGGGATGCCTCCTTCACAATAGACCCCAGGAACCCCATTCAGCTTTCTGGGCTGTCTCCAGCTCTGGAGTGTTCCAGGAGACATGCCCATGGGCGATACGTGAGCTAACCAAGTCGAGGGGGAATTCACGCAGAAAGGGAGTCTGCTCTCCTACCTGGTTTGTTCCTTAGCTTTCTTAATCAGCAAGGCTCAGGTCTGGGGGATGGGTTCCAACCTGTGGGGCCCCTTGCTGCGAGGCCTCTCATGCCCCAGTTACAGCTCCTTGCTCAGAAGAACCACTCACGTGAGTAAAAGTTGTCCCCTTGCATTGTCTGGAGAGGGTCTCTATCGGTCCCGCTACTGTGGGACAAAGACTGGCTGTCTAGGTCTGGAGAGTTAGTCCTAGTGTCTGCATCCCCCTTGAGAATCAGCCAGCTGGTCTTCTGCGGAGGGAGGAAAAAGCCACGTGAATGCTGAGGCCATCGGCAGTGGGACTGACCGCGTTACAGACAAGGAAATGGGGTCAGGGAGCTCAGGGACCCAAAGGGCTTCTCCCGGGGGCACGTGGGGGAGCCACAAACACCTCCCTCCCTTTAAGACAAGCCCAGGGCCCTTGCCCTCCCTGGAGCCAGGATGGGGAGACTCTGGGGCCAAACCCTGCCCATAGAGGTACACCCACGCCTCTGTTCTGCCTCCAGGTGCTTTCCCAGCAGGGCCGCCCAGCCCCAGGGCCTCACTCTTGACCTTTGGACCCTTTACTGAGAAACTCTGTCCAGCCTGTTCTCAAGCCAGCACCCCAGATGCCCCCGGAATGCCCTTGGACTAATTCTCCTTTCTTTTCAGACATGCCTCCGTGATAGAGTCAGAACTGGGTTACAGGGGCGTGGAAGGAGGACAGTGGGAGGAGGTGGCTGGGGGGACACCTCTGAAATCTGGTCCCTGCTGCGTGGGGCCCCGTGGGGCCCCTCCAGAGCAGAATGCAAGCTGGGGAGCCTGAACTTTCAGCTGGGGAACCCTCCCCAGAACCAGCCTGCCTCTGGCAAGGCTGTGTTCCACCAGACCTGCCCCCAAATTTACCTTCCTGTTATCCTGATCGAAGATTCCATCCTCGCCATCTGGTCGCCTGGCGGCTGGAAGGGAAGAGGCGGCCCGTCAAGGAGATACACCAGCTCCCTGGGCATTGCCTGCCACGGTTCCCGCTTCCCATTGTGCTCAGAAACAGAAAGGAATCAAGCCAAGGTCAACAGGACAAGAGCTTTTGCAGGGCCAGGGAGCAGGACGCACCAGGGAAGCATCCCACGGGAGCCCCGCAGGCGGTGGCCATGCACCCTCTCTCAGGATGGGTCTTCGAACTGAGAGCAGGTGAGCGAAGTGACACAGTTGTAAAACGCCAGCCCCCCTAATCCCCCCACCCCGAGTTCACACCATGTGTTTAGGAGCTTGGGATTTTTAAGAACATATGCTCTACTCTTCTAGTCGAACTCCAAAGGATCAGGAGGGCTTGGTCCCCAGTGCCTGCTGGGTCCGGCTCAGCTGGGTGCACCCCCGATCCCCACACCACCCTGTTCTCAGATCGGGAGACTGAGGCTCAGAGACACGACAGGCCTTGCTGAAGGCCATGCACGGGGGGCTGGCAGAGGCTGACCTATGAACCCAAGTGCTCTGTTTCCAATGTACCCCTGTTTGCCCCCCTCACTGCCTGCTGCCCACAAAACAGAAAGGTCAGCGAGCTCTGCCACTGAGAAAGTCCATGAAGAGACAGAAAGGAGGTATGATCCACAGCCAAAGGTGACCTCAGGGACTGGAAGGAGCGAAAGCTCACTTTGCCACGCTATGCCCCCCAAGAATGCTATCTGGGGCCGAGAAGTCCGCCTTTTATAGTCTCCACTGGCATATTTTTTGGTGGCAGGGGTGGGGTGGTCACCCCGAGGGGCTGATGTCATCCCCAAGCCAGTACCATCAAGCCCATCACACAAGGGCATATGACGGTGCTCAGTGCCCACGTGAGGACTTCCCGCACGAAGCCATGGACCCCGTGCATGGAACAATGGAAGGAAGACCCCGGGCCCTTTCCCCACCCGCCACGGAGACTGAGGCCACGGTAAGGACATGCCAGGGGTGAGCTTCTTACCTGCAGCCTGCGGAGGGCTTGGACCTTCGAGCCTTTTGGAACACCCTGCCTTGTGCACCACCAAGGACAAGACTGACATCAGGCCCGAGAGCTTGGAAATTGGGGATTGGGCTACAGGACCTTGACAAGATAAGGTCACAGTTGAAGAGCGTTCTGGATACGTGGACATTTTGTTACTCCCGATGGCTGTTTCTCCTTCTTCCAGGAGAGCCCATGATTTTTCCAGTGTGAAAATAAAAACCCTGCTCTCTCCATGGGCAGAAGCAAAATTACAGGGGGCCTGCGCAAGGGGCGTCGTGACGGACAGAGGCACGGGCAGGACGGATGCGTGCCCACTGCCCAAGGCTCACTTGTCGCACAGACAATGGTGGTCACCAGGCAGCAGAGCCCTGAGCATCTGGCTCTACGTTCACTGTGACCCTTGGCGACTGCCCAGCAAGCTCTGGGGACGATCAGGCCAGCGGGGACTTGGAGCTGCAGAGCACAGCCACTGTCCAACCCAGAGGAGCCTCTCAGGCTTGGAGTGCTGGTGGGAGTCAGTGGGCACACCCTGAGGAACCCTCAGTGGCCCCCAAATGGACCACTACAGTGGGGCCAATTTACAAATACGAAGACAACAAAGGGCTCTTTGGAATATGAAATCCCAGCTCTCTGGGTCACAGGGCCCAGAGGCCACCTTGGGTTTGAGCACTTCACACAGCTGTGGATGACAAGTTGGGTCAGACAATTATGCTGGCAGAGAGACCTCAGGGCTCAAAAAATGGCCCCCACCCCACCTGATGAGGAAGCTATCCCACCAGGATTGAGCATGTTTCCTCTGCAAATGTTCTTCCCCCAATCACCAAGGGCTCTCCAAAGGCCAAACATGCCAGCCCATGGCACACGCAACAGATGCCCAGACGTGGGAGCAGAGGTAGGAAAATACAGGCATTCGGCACTTGGTATTATTTGCAGCCTGCCTCCTGAACAGCTCTGAGCCTCAGTTTCCTGATCTGTAAAATGGGCAAATGACGCCCACCACCTGCCCCCGCTCTGAGTTGCGAGGCTCCCGCGGGGTAATGCCTGTAGATGCTGTAACACACTGGGGGACCCAGGTCTGAAAAACGAGGAATGAACAGAGAACAGCCTTGAGGCGAGCTGGCAGCCCGGCATTTCAGAGAGTTGGGAGAAGACAGATTGATTCAGGACGACCCAGGAAACTGGCCTGAGTATGTCTGTTCCAGCAAACAAGGCTGTGCCTCTGAGCCTGGAATGTGTTTGCCACGAGGAGCCCTTCAGGGAGAGCCCTGGGGGACCTCTTTTGGGGGCATCCCCAGGAGACTGGCTGGCCTCTGATGTTCTTTCTGGACCCACAACCCACCTGCCTTCCCCTTTCCTCCCGTCCCAAGACAGGACCCCAAAACCAAGATGAGACTATACCCCGCCATGGAGGAATCTCAGAGAGTCCCGTGAGAGGTGGTTGCTTCCCGTCTTACATCAGGGAGCACGTACTGATGAATTTGCACGGGAGGATGGAGAGCGCACCCCTACACTAGAAGGCGGATACAGGTGCAGGGCTGAGCTGCCCTTTCCGGCCTCCAGGGCCCTAGCATTCACTCCCACGGCTGTTGCTGCCAAGCTGCCTTTTGCTTACCAATGACACAGCATTAGCCCTGTCCCTGCAACCGGACGCAGCTTTCTGGCTGGTGTGGGGGGAGGGGCTCTGGTTTTCCCTGGAATCCCTTTTGAGCAGTCTGAACCTAGCATAGCATCCCTCTCTTGAGGAGACCTACTACTGGTATGTTCCTGCTCTGCACCCCCACATCAGTGGGGCCTCCGCCAACTCTGACAAAACCTGATGGCAAGGCAGCCTCGAACCCACTCTCAGAGAGGAGACAGGGAGCGGCCGTGGAGGGAGCCGCACCTGCTTCACCAACGTCAGGGGGCCCCCCGCCGTGAGCGCCTGCAGACGGCTCGGAAGCACCACCATACCCCAGTTCCATGTGCACTCTGCGTCCCGCTGCTCCCTGCCTATCCCATGTCTGCCCCTGACTATGCAGGAAAGGGCTCTTCCGCTCCCGTCCTGTCCTGCCCCTCACCATTTTCAATTTTCCATTCACTTCCTCTTGCTTCCTTTATTCCTTTTTTTTCTTACTACTTTTTCAAAAAGCCATTAAATCATAAATAAGCAGACTGGAACTAATATAGTACAAGGCATACTGTTTGGCCCTAAATGCTGTACAGCGAGAGCAGAAGGGTCAGGGGCTGGGGGTCGGGTGGACGAGCCCCAGTGGAGCCCAGAGCAGCCACTTCTCGGCCCCAGCCTTGGGTTCCTCATCCGCAGGGGTACCGAACCCAGAGCGGGCCGGAAGGGGACATGCTGGCAGCTGTCGAGCACCTGCACAGAATAGGGGTGTCCTTGCAGCAGCTGCTCAGGAGAGGACCCCCTTGTCCTCCACACCAGTGCCCCACCACGAGCTCATGTCCCCAGCACGGGAACGGAATGCAGGCACCAGAAAAGAGTGATGCTGATTAAGAACTGTGTGTGAGTTGGAGATGGGGCTTTGGAAAATAAATGAATTAATTAGATACTATGCTTTTTAAATGGGTTGGACGTATTATCTTCAATTAGTTAATGGTTCAGTGATGCGACATCTTTGCCCACACGATCTCGAGACAGGTGGACATCAGCGTAAAAGTTTCTGGAGTCCCTCCCCGAGAGACAACAGGGTGGTGACTTTGCTGAGTGTGTGTGTGTGCGCACAAGCACGTGCATGTTCACACACATGCTCACCCTCACACACATGCTCACAAACATGCTCACACATGCACACACAATGCTCACACGTGCTCACATGCACCCTTGCACCCACACGTGCTCACACGCATGCTCACACACATGCTCATAAACACATGCTCACACACACTCATGCAGTCACACATGCTCACACGCATGCTCCCCCCACCCATGCTCTCCCACAGACTCACACTCACACATGCATGATCTCATACATATGCATTATTTCACACACATACACATGTTCTCACACACTCACACTCATGCATGTTCTCACACAGTGTGCACACATGATCTTATACACAAACACACTTACACATGCACGATCTCACAACACACACATGCTTGCACATGCATGCTCACACGTGCGTGTGCACACACATACACATGTCTGACAGGACATGCTCCGCCTGGAATGGGGGAAATCTTGTAAAATCAAAACATCTCAAATATATCAGAGGCCAGAGACATCCTAACACAAATGTTATTTCTGGAACGTTCCCTGAGGACACCCGGGGAAGGACAGTACACACACATGCTGAGCCCCTTGCACAGCCGATTCCCATTCCTGAAGGGAGGGGTTGTGGTCGCATTTACCCCCCAGCTGTGGCTGGGTGCTGGGTGGAGAGCAGGCACTCTGGAAAGTATATTTGCTAAAAGAATCAGGAAACGGATTTCTGAAACGATAAATGGGCTTGGGTCGTTGCTCAGCGTTCAGTCATGTAGGAATTCCCTTGCCTTTGGGTGCGACAGGCCTCCGTATCCAGGTTAAAAGCAACAAGGCAAGGATTCACGCTGATAACGTAAAATAAAATGTCTCTCCAGGGGATGATTTAGTTAGTCAAAGAACTTGGAGCTGGAAGCTCTTTGTCTTAGATCTGGCCAGTTCGGAGGCTGTCGAGCAATTTCATGATCTGATTTACTGCTTCCTCTGCTTCCTGAGAGGATGGCCCCTCCTATACAACATGTGTGAATTCTATGAGGTTAATAGAAGGCCAAGTCAGCCAACGTCACTATGACAAGCACAGGACACACACCTTCCCACGCAGGCGTGAACACGGCCACCATGATGGTAAGACAGCCTTCAATGTGGCTGCTCCTTCCTTCAGCTGGGCCTCGGTCTCCCCACTTGTAACAACAAGGGGCCAGTCTGGACAACCTCTAAGGGCTCTAGGGTCTCACCAGCCCACCCCTCTCTGATCCCTCCAGAACATCTGAGCTCCAAGCTTCCCCAGGTGAGCAGGAATGGCAAAGGTCACTGCCTTCTGGGAACCCAAGAGTTTAATCCATTCCTTTCTTTCCTGGGATGAGGAAGAAATGCACAAGGCTCAGGGCCTACTGCCCTCAAGGAAAAACCAGAAATCCTATTTGTATAATCAGACCACTGATGGATTAGTAAGTCACAGAAAGCATGCTTTTATAGGATTGCACGTAACAGTGGTGCAGTTGTGGACGGGGGACGTGGCTGTTTTCTTTTAAATACAGGAATCCCTCTTCCCATTCCCCCATCATATGCACAGCACTTCACAGATTAGAGCCTATTTCCACGTTCATTATTTCATTTGGTCCATAACCAGCCCGTGAAGAGGGCAGGGTAGATGGGTCGGTCCCATTTTGCAGAAAAGGAAACAGAGGCTCAGGATGATGAAGCCCCATGCCCCAAATCACCCAGAAATTCCATCAAGAAACAGAGGGAAACCCGGAGGCTTCTGGCTCCTGCTCCACGGATCCAGCCACCTGCCACCTGAGCTCCTGTCCCAGGACGATAGGGCTAAGCAGAGGTGGACAGTCACCTTGGAGAGGGAAACCAGGGGCTGAGATAACCCCTCACCGCCAGACCTGTCCAGCCCATACCCGCTGATGCGACAAAACTCTCTGACTGCTGGCTCGCTATTCACTCCCTCCTCAGAAAGTCCTAAAACCCGGGAATGAATGACTACACCGGGTTTGTTCTGTTTTCCAAAATCCTGGCTGGGTTGTGTTGGGGTCCAGGAAGCCTTGTCCCCCAGCACCTCGGCTGATGTCAGCCTGGCTGCCTCCCTCCAAGGGGCATTACGGAAACACTGGGAACCCGCTGTCGCTGAGGAACTCCCACCCCGAGCCCGCGGCCGTGTGCTCGCCTCGGCTTCAGAGCACACGGAACGGTCCAGACTCAGAGTTGCCCGCTGCGGTCTCTGACGCAGAGGCTCCTGGGAGCCCACTTGCCAACCTGTCCTTCCTACTCAGGCTACCCGCGGTACCTCCCCATCCCCGCTCAGAACACAGCGAAAGGAAGCATCCAGAAGCAAAGGGGTGGCAACAGGCATGCAGGGAACACGGCAGCAGAGGAAATCCGACTGTACCATGCTGTTTGTAGATAGGGGGTTTCCTATAGATGTTATCTTTTACGCCAGTGTCTGGGAAAGAAGAGAGAGAAGAGGAGAAGAGCGGGGTGAGCGAGCACACTGGTTTCCATTCTGCTGCTTCTCCAAAGCAGCCATCAGCCACCAGATTCCACATGGCCAGAGAGGCTCACAGGGACTGACTGACTCCTGGGACCCACACCTCAGACCAAGCGTGCCCCAGCCCCAGCCCCAGCCCAAAGCCAGAACCTAATTCAAGGGGAGCGGGGAGGGAGGCGGCTTGAGTGGGCAGCCGGTCAGACAGAGCCTTCTCTCCAGCACATTCCCAGGAGGGCCAAAGTGGCTCCCTGGTGTTTGTGTGGCTTTGGGGTAAACTCCAACACACGCCAGTGGGGAGACGTGCAAACCCTCAGAATTGGGGGAGGGGGTGGTCGAGAGGGTTGGGAGTCATAGCAATTCTGTACAATCGGGTGCTCTGCGTGACAAGCCCAATCACGCATCCTGGGTACCTACCTGGGACGTGGAAATGGCGAGGCGCCTGCTGGTAGGTGCAGGGGGGAGGCTTGCTGTCTGAGAGCACCGAGAGGCTGGGGGTGCTCCGACCACTTTCACTGCCTCCAGATGGAAGAGCAAAGACAGGCAGAAGGGAGGAAGGGGAAGGCAAAGGAAAGTAGGTCAAGTAGGAATGCTGGTTCCCAGGAAGCCCGTCTTCCCCGGCTGGTGGAGCCCCACAGACACTCTACCCAGGGAAGGGAGTGGCCCCCTGTCAACACTTCCAGACTGGACCCCACGGCTTGTTAATCCAACCTCGAGTGGACCCTTTCAAATGGCCCCATTTGCAAGCACTAGTAGCTCCAAGAGCAAAGGTCTTGCGGTTGCCAGTTCACGGGAAGTTCGGCTGCGCTCTGGGCTGACCCCTACTCTCCTCAGGGTGCACAGCTGGTCTGCCGTCCAGCCCCGACTGGTGCTTGAATCCAGCAAATGGCAAATTCACCAAAAACAAAAGCCTCCCTCCCTCAGTATCCTTGCGTAAAAAAGATGCCACTTTCTTGGAGGATCCGCAAATCAGTCATTCAGAATAGGATTACAAAATCAGTCCCTAAGGGCCACTGACTAAAATTTTACCAGCTAGAGAATAAGAGCAAGTTGGTATTCATTAGCTGCTAAGCTCCTAAATAGAGCTACTTTTGGCAAATTCAATGAAAGGAATTCTCCCATTCTGGCTCCAATTTCTCATCCCATCTGGATTTGTAATTCCTGTTTCTGAACAAGGTTGGATTATCAAGTCACAAATTTAGTAGTCTCCCCGGGTGACCTCCCCGCCCCATGCCCTACACATACCTATTTAAGGAACGACATGATAGACAGAATGCAATGGGCATCAAACACTTTGGATGATGAGGTTTACGATTCATTTTAGCAAGACACTCCTGAGGCACGCCTTGTTTCCTCTCCCCTCAGCCTCAGGAAACCCTCTGCTACCTTGGATCATAGTCTGGCAAAGGGGAGACTCTCCTGGCTTGGAAGGAGCCCCTGTGAGCTGCAGCTGTTCCAAGTGGCAGGGCCCTGAGCTGACCTGGCAAGGAAACAGCCCTCCCTTGGGGCTAGACGTGTGCTCAGAGCGTGCTTTTGCCTGCGTTGGGTGCACCGGGAACCCGGGAGGGCATGTAGGGGCAGAGGAGGGCACCCAGCCCGAGCAAGCCCCCATCCGCAGCCCAAATCGGGCTGAGACCACAAATGGGGCTGCTGACCTCAGCTCGGAGCATCCATCCTCCTGCGCTGGGAGCCAATTCCGCCCGCGAGTGCTGATGGAACTCCCAGCCCTGCATCGCCGCATGAACCCTGCCTTCCTCTGAGCCACGGCCTCCCTGCAGCGTCAACCCTTCCAGAGCCCCACACTGGTCCAGGCTCCTTCCTGCAGTTCCCTGAGGGGCAGGAGCCTTCAGGCCATGTCTGAGCCCCTGAAGGAAACCGTCCCCATGTGCACGTAAGGGGAACCGCAGATCACTGATTGTTTCTGGCAATGGTGGCTGGGACGGGATCCACACTCGAGGGTGGAGAAACACGTCAGAAGTTTAAACAATCTCCTTGCACAGGCTCTAGGACAGCCAAGGACTGCCCACTCTGGGGGTCGGCACAAAGCCGGGTGTGCCCCAGGCACGGCCTGGTGAATCCAGGAGCCTTCGAATGGCTCACTTCCTTCTGCCTAGAAGTCACGTGCCCTCATGAACCCAGCTCCCACCCACATGGCTGCAGACGATGGGATACATGGCAGGGCTCCTGGCCCCCAGTCCCCAAGCCTAGAGTGCTGTGTCCTCCTACAGCCCAAGCATCAGCCTCTGTGTGGGGGAGCACCCCCAGTGCAGGTCCTCACGGGGCCCAAGACCCAGGGGCAGCTGGGGACACAGACCCAGAAGCAGTGGCTCATGACACCCACCCACACCTGCCACCCAGCGGTACAGAGATCACCAAAGTCTGCCGGGCCTGGTCCTAGGCTGAGACGTCTCTCCTGGCATCCCTTCCTCCCAGCTTCCCTCCCCACCCCCACGAGAATCCCCTTTGCAATGCCCCCCACTTGTCACAACCCTTCTGGGGTCATGGCCCAGTGCAAAGCCTCCCTAGGAAACCCAGGCCACTGCTGGCCATTCCCCTGTCTGGACTCACTGGGTTACCTCATTGTAATAAAACACACAGCTAACATCAAGCCCCTGCCCCACTGCCCCCAACCCCACCCCGTCCAGGGCCCCCCGCGGTGCTTTGCCCACATCAGCTCACGGAAATGCCCACAGCATCCCCGCAGGACTCACGGCTCCCTGGGTCCCTTCTGCAGGAGGCACAGGGCTGGGGTGGGAGGGGGGTGCCCAGGGCCAGGTCCCCGGGCGGCCAGCTTCCTTCCTGGGCCTCAGCAGTAAAACCCCAAGCCACAGATGTGGCCACGGATGCAGGGAAACCCAAGGAGGGCCCAGCTGGACTTTAAAAAGAGAGGACTCTTCGGACCAGGCTCTCATGGCCTCTGGAGCAGCTCAGGAAGGAGGTCTGATCCTAACATCTACTGGGGGGGGGAGGGGCTTCTTCACACAGTGGAAGCAAGTAGTCTACGCTGCAGGGGTTCCAGGCAGTCCGAGTGGCCTCTGCTGCCTGTCTCTCCGCGGGGTAACAGCTCACGTCACTGCGGGCATCACTGCCTTGGTGTTGGCTGAAGGCCACCCTTCATTCAGGCTTCACGTCCCCTCCCCTGTCCCAGGATTCTGTCCGGGACATCACGTGACATGCGGCCATCCCATCTCCCCAAGCTCCTCTGGGCCGCAACGATTTCTCAGACGTCCCTGGTTTGCGATGATTTTCGTGAGGAGTCCTGGCAGGTGGTCCGTGGGGCGTCCCTCTGTGAGGACTTGTCTGGTTATTTCTCGTGATCAGTGGGGGATCGTGGGTTCTCGGGAGGAAGACCCCAGGGTCACAGTGCCCGCCCATCCCATCAGGTCAAGGGCACCTGCCATCGACGTGACTGGTCACTGCAATGGTGACCTTGACCCCCTGGCCGAGGTGGGCTTTGCCAGGCTTCCCTGCCTCCAGTCCCCCTCCCAGCACTCCCACGCCGTGCCCTTAGTGGGGAGGTCACCATGACCCGTGCACGCCTGGGGATGGGGGTGCCCTCCTTGAGGGTGGTGCGTCCCCATAAGTCATTGGGAGCTCCCTTGCTTGGGACATTTGTCCCTTCTCCTTCATTTATTCATTTGCTCACTTATCTATGTCAGTGTGGACTTGTGGGCCCTCATCTCGCTGGCTGGGTGACAGTCCAGTGTCCCATTACTCATTCTGCTCTTCAATCATCCCAGCTTTGCCTTGGGTTGGCTCCTGCCAAGTCCTCTCAAGGAGGCCAGAAGCAAAGCCAGCTCCGGTCCACATACAAGGGCATGTTAAGGATGATGAGTGAACCCTGCGTGGGTTCTCACGTGTGCAGCGCATCTCTGTGGGCTGTCTGAGCCTTGACCACAACCACCCAGTATAGAGTACGGCCCCGGGACTAGGGCCAGATAAAGAGCTGCCTCTGGGGCACCACGAGTGGATGGGAAGCTGGCCCTGACCTGAGGCTCTGCCCCGGCAGCCCTATCCCTCTGGTCCTGTCCCCTCCCACCATGGCGGAAGGAGGTTGCTGGTCAGTAAGCGGCACCTGCCCAGCGAAGGGGTCCCGGCAACACCATCTCCCCTTGACCCTCCATATCTGCCTGCTCCTTAACAGGTGAGAGGCCAGGCTTAAACCTTACGCTGCCTCAGGAAACATCCTCGGGTCTGTAATTCATACTAAAGTGCAAATGACTGCCACCAACACAGAGGCTGCCTGTCCGTCTTGGTAGGGGAGGGGCCTTGGGCACTGAGACATGGCGGGAGGAAGGTGTGTCTGGGGTGGGGGTCCAGTGAGGAGAGAGGAGGAAAGCAAGGGGTCCCTGTCAGCAATCAGCTGGGTCAGGCAGGTGAGGGCTGGGGTGAGGGCAAGCCTCTCCTTGGGGAGCCCTCCCCCCACAGCAGCATTCAGAGAGTAATCTCCACCTAGAGGAGCTAAAGATGCGAAGGATGCCATCAGGAGAGGCCCGATGGCAACACAGCTGTCTCTCCCTGTGCTCCCCCCCCAGCCCTCCCTCACAGGGTGAGGAAGGGGCGCTGCTCCCCCTGATGTGCCTGGAGCGGGCTGGCTGTAGGTCTGAGACACCGTCCCAGGGCCTGCCCTTGGCTGAGGGTACACGCTGGCGTTCCTCACCCTGGAGAACTTGAGGGTAGAGGGTCAGAAGGGAGCAATGGAGGACAGGGTTGCAATGTCTGCTCTGGGCCCAGACCCAGCCTGGACTCGTCTTGGCCAGAGCGGGTCCCCATGCAGTCCAGCCAGCTCATGGGCAGCTGCTGGGACAGCATGGCTACCACAGCAGAGACAATAAGTACCCAGTGGCTGGGCCTCACCTCTGGGCCACCCCTCTTCCAGAGCCCCCAGCAGGACAGCCCCATCCAAAGCAGGGCCATGGCGGGTGGGGGTAACTCTGTGTGTCCAGGGGCCCACGGACCAGTTAGTGAAGGGAGAAGAGGCATCTCCTTTGTGACCTGCCATGACCTGGCCATTAGCCAAATTCCCCCTGGTTTGCAGGGAGTGTGCATTCTATTCACAGGACACACATGGGCACCCAGACACATGTCCCAAGGCCCTGCTGGCTGCGTCCACTCACGGGATGCACCATGTCGGGCTTCGCTGCTTCTCGAGAGAGACGATATGTCCAGAAGACTCAGACTGTGAGCTGTCGGGTCCCGATGCTTCGGGGCTCGGCTCTCCGTAGACCGAGGTTGGGGGGGACACGCAAAGCAGGTGACAGTGATGTACGGAAGGGAAGGCACAGATGCCAAGAGCCCCATCTAAGACCGTCAGATGGGGGCACGAGCCAGTTGAACTCGGCTAGCCTCCCAGCCCCATCGGGAGGGATATGTCCCACCGGGAGGGACATGTCCCACTTGGCATCTGTACAGAATGGGGGCTCAGCGGCTCTCTGGGGACATCAGTGAGAACATCGCTGTGGCTTCCTCTAATGCCAGAGCATCTTTCTGCGGCATCTCGGGCTGCTCGTGCTGCATAGCAACATGCCAGACACGTATTTCTTACTGTTCTGGAGGCTGCAAGTCCCAGACCAAAGTGGGGCAGAGCTTGGTTTCCATTGGGAGCACTGCTCCTGGCTGGCAGATGGCCACCCTGTCCTCGCATGACCGTGAGGCCCTTCCTCTGAGCACACGCAGAGGGCGAGAGCTCTTCCCGGGTCGTTCTTCTTCTTGTAAGGCCACCAATCTTATGGGATCAGGGCCTCACCTTAGTGATTTCATGTGGCCCTGATGGCCTCCCAGAGACCCCATCTCCAAATGTAATCCCAGGGCAGTTAGGGCTTTAACGTACACATCCTGGGGACACAAGCAGTCCATAACGTATGGGAAACGAGCATGGCCATTTTCCTGGTGTGATTGGCCTATGATGTCTGTGCAGGGATGTGGACGGCGGGTGGGTCCATGGCCTGGGAAGGGGCAGGAGCTGGAGCCTGTGCAGGGTGTGCCTCCGGCCCCAGCCACTGTGAGCCCCAAGGCCACAGACAAGTCATAGCCTGCTCTGTTTTGGCCCCTGATAATGGCTGCAAATGGTCCCTGTGCCCCGAGGAGCCGATGTGGGAAATCAGAGGGGGTCATGGGGGAAGGTTTCAGAAACGAGGCCCCAGGCCAAGAATGGGGGAGATCCTAGCCTCCTGCCCCATGGCTTTCACTCAGCTCCTCACTACTCACTCCTTCCCACAGCAAGCTTCCTACGTCCTTGTCCCAGGAACACTGACACAGCGACAGAAACGGGGCTGGACCCACGAGACACACAGCAGGGAGCACGGGCAGAGACACAGGGCTCGGGGAAGCCATGCGGCAGACACAGGACAGCAAGACACAGACGCGTGGCTGGACGCCCTGCGCGAGCCCGCAGCCCGGGCACTGCGCACCTTACCTCGGAAGTAGGGGATGTAATGATGTCTGAACACGGATGTAGGGCTTGGGTGTTGGGACAGGGACAGGCAGCTACTGGTACCAACACTCACAGTACCAGCTGCGGGCAACAGAGAGCAAGTCAGAGTCCACCCCAGGCCCACTGGCCGCACAGCCACCAAATATTCCTAGGCCCCACTCCGCTAGGAACATTTGCGCTTCCTCTTCCGAGGAAGGGACACCTTTTTGAGGCAGCCAAGGGGGACTCAGCAGATACGCTTTAGGCCAGTCTGCTCCGGTTCTGAGCAAGGAAGCCCGGCCACCTGAGGTACAGGGTGGCAGCCCCGGCCCTGAGCCCTGGCCTGTCCCTCCACTCGGGGGCTCCTTGGCCTCCGTGACAGCTGACAGCAGCTGGTAGAGTGGGGCGGGTGTGCACCTGACAGGCACCAGGCCTTGTCCCGCCGAGACCCACATCTCAGCTCCCTGGGGGCCGCACCCGGCCAGGCATAGCCAACAAGCCCAGCTGAGCCAGGGGTTGGGGGTCGGGGTTTGGGGATGGGGGATCAGGAGAAGGGCCCTCGGAGAGGACGCCTGGGGAGGCAGACCACCCTTCAGCCCTCACTCACCTGCTTGCCTGCTTGCTTGTCAGTCATTCATCCATTCGTTCACTCTTACACCTGCTCACTCATTCACTCACACACTCATTCACACACTCGCTCACCCACTCACTTGCTCACTAACACACTCCCTCACTTATTCATTCACTCACTCACATACTTGCTCACTCATTCACTCACACATTCATTCACTCGCTCACTCATTCACTCACTCACACACTCACTCACACACATGCTCACACACCCTGTGGCTCACTCACACTTACTGGTTCACACACATACACACTCACACCCTCACTGGCTCACTCACACACATCACACACCCCTGGCTCACTCACACACTCACACACACAACCCCATGGTGGCTCTAACTGGCTAGTTACTAACTGGCTCACTCACACATACACACTCACACGCCTCCTGGCTCACACTCTCACGGGCTCACTCACACACACTCACACACCCCTGACTCACACCCCTGCACACACACTCACACACCCCTGGCTCATATGCTTGCACACCCCCTGACACACACACACACGTGCACCCCATGGCTTACACACTTGCACACCCCTGGCTGACACCCCCCCCCTGCTCACACACACATGCACACCCCTACCTCACACACTTGCACACATGCTTGCACACCCCTGGCTGACCCACACCCTGGCTCACACACTTGCACACATGCTTGCACACCCCCTGGCTCACACACTCGCACCCTGATCCGTCCATTCTCCACTTATTGAGCAGGATGTTCCGAGAACATTGCAGGGAGTCGACAAAAATAACTTTGCAAATGAATGAGTTGATTTTTCCACAAAGGCTGTGAAAATTAGAGCTGTAGCCCGTGGATGTGGACATGGAGTCATGCAGCAGCTGGCCATGGAGGAAGCAGCTTGGAAAAATCCCTCACAGAGGCAGTGTGCACGTGGAGTGTCCCTGGGCCTTGGACACACTGAGGCCAATGGTGAGTTTTCAGAGCTAAGGGCGAGCGATACACAGCTGGGCGCCAGGCAGGGAAGGCAGCGGGCCAGGGAAGGAGAGCGCCCTGCCCTGGGTGTCCCCTTGCCAGGAGGGGGCAGTAAGCCCTCACGGACGGCTGCCGGTCTTCGGAGCCACCAACCCAGCCATAGGTGAAGGGTGTCAGTAGATATTCTAGATGGTTTTGGCCATTGACACTGCCCGCACAGTTCAAAGCCCCCAGCCCCACATGAGCCCAGCACTGACGGACCTCTGGTCGCCCACATTTATGCCCCTTTAGCTCGCTGGCATCCCTTGCTATATTCTAAACGCTCAGCGCTGCCTGTGTGTCTCACCCAGGTAACCAGCTGCCTGCGCAGCAGTCCTCCTGTCCCCTCCAAACAATGGGGGGCCGACCTCCCCAGACACGTGACCTGGTCAAGTTCTCCCATCACCCACTGGCCATCCCACACCCGGCCCATCATCCTTCCGGTTGTGTAAAGGAAGAGACAGAGTCAAAAGAGGGAAAGCAATAAGAAATACAGCTTGATCTGGGGTCAAAGAAGCCACGGGGGCTGAGTACCTGGACGGCTGTAGTGCTGGGGGGACCGTGAGGTTGGGGTGTAGCGCCCAAGGCTGACGGACCCGGTGGAGCTCGGGCTGGAGGTCCGGCACTGCTTGTAAGAGCGGTCATCCTGATCCCCCTGGGAGGAAAGGCAGCCTAGTAAACAGCGGAGCTGTGGGCACTGCCCGCCCCCACGCATTCACCCTCCTCCTGGTGTTGGCCCTCTGGACTGGAGAGGCTGACTCAGCGTGGCCCCAGGATGACACTGTCTGCACCTGCCAGGGCACCCCGGGGTGAGCCAGGTAGGGGCTGGGCCCTGTGCCAATACTCCCTGTGGCCTGACCATGGCCCCAGAACCCCCAGATCCCAGAGGGCAAAGTCTCCATCAGCCTTCCCTATGGCTGGGCTCCCAAAGAGGGTTCCCCTTACACCCCTCCTGCCCCATCCTTCCGGCCACCCAAGCTCCTTACAAGCAGGAACTTTTGAGATCCTCGAGAATCATGAGATTCTGCATTCTCCCCCTGCCTCCCGCACAAGGGGGCTCCCAGATCCAGGACGTAGAAGACACCCCTCCCAGGCTCGAAGGCCCAGTTGAGTCAGACCCACAAGCACTGGCCCACGCACGAGACTCCAGTCAAATGGGACGAACAATGGTTTGGAACAGTCAGTGCAGGCTGCAGGTGGCGTGAGATGGCATGACACCATGGTGTGGGGGAGGGCAGGCTGCTGGCCCGCCACAGCCCGGACCACCAGCCAGAGTCCTGGAATGGCCCAGCCCAGCAGCCTGCCGTGAGGTAAGCTGAGGCCAGCATGAGGGTAAGCCCAGGAGAGGGGAGAGCCTGGTCTGGAGCTCATGGCCCTCGCGCTTTCTGAGCTGACCTTCTGCCTCCAGAAGCATGTCCTGCAGCAGAACTAGCTGAGTCACTGCCCTAACACCTACCCATGCCCCCACCACCTCCACGCCTGGCCAGGCCAGCTCCCGCATTGGGATCTCACCCGCCAGGTGTCCCCTGGCTTCCCCCTGAGCCCGCCTGGCCTGTCCCACCCACAGCGATGGGCGCGCTCTCTCCCTGCTGACCAGTTGCCATCCCACAGGCGTCCCATCTCCTCGCTTAGCCTATCTGTGGGGCTGGCCAGCCACATGTGGTTTTTGAAGCTCGGCATGGATGGCCACTTATCCGGTATAGGTGGTGCATTCCTGGATCTGAGAGTTCGATGCCCATGCAGACTGGAGTCTGATTGGCACCTGTCCAGACCCCTGAGTGGCTCTGAGAAATAGGCAGACAGGGCTGCGGACTAGAAATGCTATTGGATAGAGAAATGCTCTTGGAATATTCATCTGCGAGAACCTGGGCGCTCTGTACGTCCCGCCCAGAGGAGCGTGAGCGGGCCCAAGCTCACCCGGGCTCCTGGGCCTTTTATCTCCAGGACGAGCCAGACCTCGAGGGAGCTACATCCCAAGTGTCAGCCACTGCAGGACCGACAGGTGCACCATGGAAGCATGCAGATGAGACGTGATTATAAAAATAACTGACACCCAGGACGGCGTTCAGGCCACCGAGGACCATGGCCCCAGATCCCAAGGTTGAGAGCTACAGAGGCCCTCTCAGGGTTGCCGTGGGTGGTTATGTTTATAACCCCGGTGGCAGTGCCATGAGCAAGAGGGGGCGTTGGCCGGGGACAGGCAGTTACCTCCGTCAGCGTTGGCGAGAGTACCTGCGGGGACTGGGGACACAACATGCAGAGTGGCCTGTTAGGTCTCTGGTGGGGGTGGAGGGGCACACACACGCCCTCACACCCAGACCCTCCTCCAGACGGGAAATGAACCCTACCATAAGACACGATGCAGGATTCCAGAACCTTTTTAGATAAATACGGTCAATGGCCCTCCAAGAAAGGGGTCCCCAGATCACTTGTTTGGGCCAAGCCTGGAGTGTCTCTCCACACTGGCCCACCCTGATGCCCACTGCTCTCCCGTGAGGATGTATTTTCCAAAAGGAAGACCATCAGTTCAGGGCATGCTGGGACAACAACATCTGAACCCAGCACCTTGGTTTTCTCCAGACAGGAGAGATGAGGGGCCCAGAAAAAGGAGGGGCTGTTAGGACCTCAGGGTTTAGGGTTCCTGCTCTCTGCAGAATGGAAAGGGAAAGTGTCCCCAGTCTTTCCATTTCACAGAAGGGGAGACTGAGGCTCGGAGAGGTGAAGGCAGTTCCCCGAGCCTCCAGCCTGCTGTTCTTTTTCCCGCTGGACCCCTGCTCTTGTGGCCACCTGCCAGAAGGCCGCCATCCCAGAGAGACAGGGCTCTCCAGCCCTGAGGCCAGCGTCTGCTCAGCTCAGTGCCTGACCCTTCTTCTGGGGCTTTCCTGTCCCCACCCCATCATTCACCCACAGAAGAGCCCGTTAGAGATTTCTATTCTGCCGGCTTCCCGCCAGGGTGCGGCAGGGCCTGGAGAGGGGAGAGGCCCAGGGCCCTGAGATAGGGGAGTGAGGGGACTCTGACACCCCCGGGGGATGGTGGAAGCTGGCGGGGAGGCCACAGTGACCAGGACTGGGTAGCCCAACCCAAGTCCCACCTCTGCCTTGGTGAGATGCATAGCCCTAGGTCGGCATATCTGTCCCCTGAGCCTGTGCCCTCGTCTGCACCTTGGGCACTCGCTCCTACAGTGTGGGGCCATGGGCCACGGATACACAGGAAAGCCCAGTGTCCATATGGTGAGTAGGCCAGTGGAATAAGCAGTGACCTGGATGGTGGGGACACTGCTCAGCTGCCACAGTGTGACCCACCAGCTCACAGACAGTGCACCACGGGAGGGGTGTGGCATTGGTGACCGTGGCTCAGACTTGACATGTGCCCCGTGCTGTTGTGCTCTGCTCGTTTGTTTGCAGACACTTCCAGGACCTGCGGGAGCAGGACTGAGGGTAGCAGCAGCCCGCGCCCATGTGCACGTGTGGCCCTCCCCGACCACAGGGCTCCATGGCACTCACAGCAGCCCTACAAATGGCTGGGGGCCCCATGAGCCAGTCTGCACAGGAAATCTCAGGCTCCAGCCGGGGAGGGTGGGGTGGCCCAGGGCCACCAAGGGGTTGGACAGGAACTTGAACCCCGGCCTCTAGATTTGGCTCCCATGTCTTAGAGGAAGCACGAGGGGCAGCTAAGGAAATAGTCAGCAGGTGGTCTTTGGGGCAGAAAGGCCTGGATTGGTCTCGGCTGTGCAGTTCATCATTTGGGGGAGCTTGGCCAAGTCACTGGACCTCTCTGATCCTCTTCTAGTGCTGTCCACTGGAGCTGACCAGATGCTGGAGAATAAAGCCCCACGCACAGCTTGCGTGCGTGGTAGGTGGGGGCAGGTTGGGATCCCTCCCTGTCCTGCCTCTGAATGGGGCTTGTTGCCCAGATCCTCAGGGTCCCGGGTGTCCCCTGCAGCAGAAGCCAGCCAGGAGAGGTGCCTGCTGGCTACTGAGCAAACTAACTGGGGTCGTCATCACCCTCCTGCCCCACCCTTGTGTTGCATAGCCCAGAGCACCTGTGCCCAGCTCCCAACAAGTGGGCAGCACACACGCTTGGGCCACCAGCTAGCAAATTGTTCTTCCCACCTATCCCAGGCATCCACAGCCAGACTCCAGTCTCAACACTACCAAAGAGCAGGGAAAACCAACAGCGGACTCCATGGGAGATGGAGAAAGGCCATGAGAACCAAGTCACCAGAGAGGGATGCGCCCGAGGGACTCTAGGGAGTCCATCGTGTGTGGTCCCCACAGGTGGTCAAATCAGCGCATGGGATTCATGAGGCGGGAGGCAGGCCACCCAAGGAGGGCGGCAGCTTTCCTTCACACCAGCGTGTCTCCTACTTCCTCCCCTGCCCAAGCAGACCCTCTGCCAGGGTTGGGTGGAGCCCTTGGGGCCTCTCGATAGGGGATGGGCACAGGCCATTAGAGGGGACAGGAGGCTGAGGGTCAGAAGGGGAGGAAGCAGACGGGACTCCTGCCGTGGGCACGCCGCCTGTCATGGGGGCCGCACCTCATGGCAGCTCTGCCTGCCTGTCGCTGAATGGCTGATGTATGGCGAGTAGGAGATCATGTCGGGGCGGTCGATGTTATAGATGGCCTTGCTTTTAGGAAGAGCAGCCAGGTCCCTGTAGTCAAGAATCTCATCGCCCAGCTTGGCCTGAGAGAGAGAGAGAGAGCAGAGGCGCTGTGACTCACAGCCCAGAGAGGGTAGCAGGTGCTCCAGTGGCCGCTTGGACAGCAGGGCCCTGCCCAGGAGCCAGGCTCCGTGCAATGGGGGTGAAGGGACAAAGGCAGCAATGAGGGGGTCCTCATGGTCACGTGGGCCTGGGTCCCTCGACCCCACCATGGAAGGTCACATGGTCCTAAGGAAGTTTATTCTCTGAGCCTCTACCTCTCACCCTCCAGATTGGCACAAACAGTTGCATAGGACAGCCCCAGGGGCAGACAGGTAGAGCCGCTCGCCTGCCCGGCACAGAGCCCAGCAGACCACGAGACTCAGCCCATGGCCTAAACACACCTATGCACACCTGTGTATGCACACACGAATCCATACGCACATGCAAATCGCGCACACAGATGAGAATGCACATGTGCGCATATGGACATGCAAATTCTTGGATGCATATGCGTACATACACACCCACAAGAATAACATGCACGTGTGTGTGCAAACACAGACCCACGTGTGAATATATGCAAACAGCACTTGAAAACATGCCCATAAACACACATGCACACATGCGTGCACATCTAAAACACGTGTGTGCAAATAGGCATGTGCAGGCACTTAAAGTCGCATGTACATGTATGTGTGCATGCAAACACGCACATTCGTGCACGTGCACACACACGATATATACACACATAAGACACATGCGTGTGTGCGTGCATTTAAATATCCACCTAGTAGGTTTGTGTATGTGCATGTGCAAACACCATGTACACACTTATGCACACATATTGCACGTACACACAGAAGACTGCCTACGGCGGAGGCGGTATATGCTCTCACAGACCTCTACCCTCTCACTGCCACTGCCAAACACTAGCACACACACTTGCACAAGTCGTAAGTGCCCATACCCTCTCACACGCTCACATGTGCAGGCACAACGCACACTCCCTTTCTCACCCACCACTGCACACCAGCACAGACACTCACACACGCTCCTGTCCCCACACCAGTGCATGTTCACACCCTCATGTCCACACACTTGCTCATACGCACACACACAGTCCCACACTGGCACACATGCTCTCGGCCCCAAACTCACACCTACACGTGTACATGCACACACTCCCATGTGATAACACACATTCATACCCATAATCACACTCACTTGAACCACTACACACTCACATGCACAGGTGTTCACACTTCCACAAGGTTGCACACACACGCACGCACTCAGCAATTTCCACTTGAGATACGGCAGCAGAGTGACTGACACCTGTCGGCCTGGCCGGGCTAGGACCTCTGGTGGAGCTAGGACTGCACCTGGACTCCAGCAGGTGCTCACGGAGGGTGCACACAGAGCCACTGCATTTGCTCAGGGAACAGCCACCAGACCACTCACTCTCCTTTGACCTGGCCTTCTCCAGCATCGTCCCACTGCTCCGGGCTTCTGCTCCCACTCTGCTGCCCCTCCCTGCTCCAGGGGGCTGCCGGGTCACATGGCAGGCTGAAACAGTTCCTGGAGCTGGGCAGGACCACACCCACACACCCCTCAGCTGTCACAACAGGACGATCATCTGTGTCAGTTCCCATGTTCCTGTCGTGGGTGCCAACGTCCCCATCCATCCCGGAGCAGACACCTGTGGTCACCTCCTCCCCACCAGGACCCCCTGTCAGGATTAAGGTCAGCTTGGCCTTGCCGGATGTCAGGTTGCCCCCACTGGCTCAGCTCTACCTGAACCCCGAGGGAACCTTTTGCTCAACCCCAGTGTCCTGCAGTGACCAGGGTCCAGGGCCAGCATGGGCACACATTCTTCTCTGCAGTGGAACCAGCTGTCCCTTTCCAGCCCAGGTGGCTCTGGTCCAGGTCCTCGTTGCTCACATCTAGATCCGGCCAGAGCCTTCAGGGTGTTCTTCCCACATTTGCGCCAAATAAACATCATCAACAGAGGTTGCTAACACTGTGAGCTCCTCTCTGGGACGGCACTGGCCTGAGCCTTTTATTATCTACTCCCCAAATACTCACGAAGAGCCCGTGATGGGAGCAGCTAGTTACCATCCTTCACTGATGCAGAAAGCAGAGCCAGAGAGGTTAGGTAACTCACCCAGAGTCACACAGCCAGGGATGTGGGGTAGGAAGAGGCCTGGGTTCTTGGACTCCAGAGCTATGCTCCCCACCATCGCCCTCTGCCGGGCCCCAGTCTCTGAGCCCCACCTACAGCACATTGCCTGCCAGCTCAAATCTTCCGCCAGCCTCCCCAGGTAGGTGACACAACCCCTCGCTACGGTCCCCAAATGCAAGGTTGACGTTCCCGGCCTGCTCCCCCCAAGGTCTCTCCTTCCTGTGCCCCCAGCAGGCCGGGGTTCAGTAGCCCCAGTCCACCTCCCCTAAGAAGCCTTCCCTGACCACCCGACTCCAAGGCTCTCATGAGCTGGTGGGTGCTCTTGGGGTGAATGCTGCCATTTGTGGTGTAGGTTGAGAGACGGAATGTCGGATGTCTCAGACCTCTGACTCTTCCCCGTGGAGCCTTGGGCAGGGCTCAGAAGACCTGAGTTTGAATCCTAAGCCTGTTGTTTGTAGCTAGGAGGGACCCTGATGAGAATTTTTGAGCTGTTCCTCAAGGGCCCTTGTGCACCTGCTTACCCGAGGGGCTCACTCCACCGCCCACACTGCCTACCAAGATGAGCTTCTTATGGGGCCCAAGGGCTTGGCACCTGCTGCTCTCTCCCAGGCCTCTGTGCCTGCTCCCTCTCTGGTTCTTCCAGACTCAGTCCAGGTCGCCCTCTCTGAGGGACCTGCCCTGCCCCCTCCATTATTTGGGTTGGGTGTCTTGTCTCCTTCAAGTAAAAGTGCTGATGTTGGTTGACACCTCAGGCTCCCACGAGGGACTGGTGGCTCCTGGGGGTCCAAGACTAGATCTGATTCATTATGGAGTCCCTCTCCCTAGCTCTGTCCCTGGCATGGCAGGGTTCTTGGGGCATACTTGCCAAATTCAAGTAAAATCCTTGGGGTATTTGCCAAAATTAGGTGGATTCTCTGGGCCATTTTACAAGATGAGACTGCCACCTACGTCTTGTCTATCCACTGGATTTCATGAACCTCAAATTAAAGCTGACGCTGGAATGGGGGGCCGGGCGAGGCCTGGACTCATGGGTCCATGTGCAGATGGACACCCTTCCCTGCCTTGGACCCCACTGTGATCAGAGCATCTGCCCTCCCGTGGCTGTCACCCCACTCTGCACAGGTCAGCGAGGCCGGCCCCGCCCTGGGTTAGCCCCTGCCAATCCCCGAACAGCATGGATCAGGGAGGCAGCTGGAGGGCACCAATACTGCCTGCTCCCACCCTGGACAGGTGGCTCTGCTCCTGGGTCCTCAGCATCTGTCCTGCCTAGTACACACACAGATGCATTTCCTCCCACAGCTGGCCTCTGGGTGGTCGCCATGACAACGGGCTATGCTCTCTAATTGGCGGAAGGCCACTGGGATGCGTATATGTTCCTGGGACTTTTCTTCACTTTTTTCTCTCCCACACTCCGTCCAGCATCATAAATAATAATAACATATGGCTGTCCACAACCGGATAGTTACAACACGCTGTCCCTAATAATACATTGTAACGTGATGATGCTGATTTTCTGCTTTCCTTTGTTACTGATTTATTGCCGCGCTGAAGAAAGGTTACAACAAAATATTCAGCATGACCTCATTTGGGTTAAAAAAGAATACAGCACAAAGGGACCTAAGGGGCATGTCACATAATATTATCAGGGCTACTTTGGCTGGTCGGAGAGCACACGTTATCCACCTTCTGCACAGCTGGGCTGCTGGGCAGCTGGCATCCTTCTAAGCTGCAGTAGGGCTCAGGCTCCCCCCGCCCCCCGCCTCAGGGCCCAACACTGAGCACGGTATCAGGCACACAGTAGGCCAAACATAGATCCCAACAGAGAGATGAAAGAAAAGGCAGGGCACAGACACCTGGGTAGCTCAGTCGGTTGAGCATCTGCCTTCAGCTCAGGTCATGATCCCAAGGGCCTGGAATCGCGTCCCACATCGGGCTCCTTGCTCAGCAGGAGTCTGCTTCTCCCTCTGCCTGCTGCTCCCCCAGCTTGTGTGTGTTCTCTTTCTCTGACAAATAAATAAAATTCTTAAAAAAAAAATGCAGAGCAGAGCCTCGAGACAGAGGAAGGGCTTGCTTCCCCAGACTCACGCCTCCCCAGTGAAGGAGTTCCAGGGACGTGTGCCGACGGGGTGCCCACACCACCCTGATTTGGGGGGAAGGATGGCTGGATGCTCTGGCCTGTGACCGACCTGGTGCCCTGGAGGGCAGATGTGTCCAGGCTGTGTGCAGGTCTGAGTGGCATCTGAAAAGTGGGTGCAGTGATCCGGGGAGGGAGGAGGAGGAGTGTGGCATACATCCCGAGGTCCCCTGCGCTCACAGCCTCTCTGTTGTGTCATGAGCATGTGTCACGCTCAGATTCGGGGGACTGGGTGAAGTTAACTTGCTTGAGGCCTGTTGAAAACTGGAATCCAGGGCACCCGTATTAGCCAAACGGAAGTTCATCCAAGCTGAGACCGCCCACCTCAGGCCGATGAGCCCAGTAACCCCCAGTGCAGACGTTCACGGGGCCTTTCAAGGAGCCGTGACCCCAGGGCCCAGCATTGCTGCTCGTCACACGGTCCCGACTGTATCTCAGTCCTTGACAAATGACCAATTGTTTAAAAGAGGAGCTCACACCGAGAGAGCCGTTACCATGTGCTTGCAGCCACGGCAGCCACAGAAGCCGGGCGCCCCCTGCCTCACCAAGTGCGCCACCGACCTTGTCTCACCGAAGCAACAGAAATCGTAATTAAGATCTTTCATGACATTGATGACACCATGGGCTGAATTACATCCTGCCAGACCCGTGTCTTGAAGCCCTAACCCCTGGGACCTCAGGTGAGACCGTGTTTGGAGATGGGGTCTTTACAGAGGCGAGTAAGATAAAAGGAGGTCACGAGGGCGGACCTCTATCCCATCTCACTGGTGACCTTAGAAGAAGAGATTAGGACACAGAAAGACACAGAGGGATGACCCTGTGAGGGACCAGAAGAAGACTAGAAGCCAAGGATGGTGGCCTCAGGACAGCCAGCTCTGCCCACACCTGGATCTCAGCCCCAGCCTTTTAGACAGGGAGAGAATGCGTTTCTGAGGTTGGAGCCACCTGCTCTGTGGGATTTATTTGCTATGGTGGCTGAGCTACGAGCACAGACGTTATACTGATCATCGCAGTGAGCATTCCTGAAGTCCTGCCTCTGGCCAGGGCTGCAACTCAGGGCTCCCCCCAGGCCCTAGACAGCAGGAACTGTGAGTCTCCTTTGGTACAGATGAGCCCTCAGAGGCTTAGAGAGGTTCACTCATCACCCAAGGGCACACAGCTGGTCTGATGAAATCACACCGCCTTTCTGAGCCTCTGAGGGCATGTTCACAAAGGGCCACACTGTGATTCATCTTTGGGGCTCGTAATAATCATGTTCCCCTGAGGACTAGAGTACTTAGGATTGTTACCCATCAGGATTCAGATCAGGAATGACTCTGCATCCAAAGAGTATGAGATTCAGGGCTGAAAAGGTGTCAGGAAGAGCTGATCCAACCCCCACAGTGTCCCACCTGGTTGGGTGGGAAGGGGCTGGCAGGAGGGACGTGCCCCAAGTCACCTGCTGCTCCTTGCAGTAGCAGAGCAAGGCCCTGACGCCCAGCTGCCCCTCCCCCAGCCTGTACCAGGAACCTCAGGTCTTTTCCTCCCAGCACAGTTTGGTGCTCACGGGTAAATTAGCAGAAGTACCGACCTCCCACTGCCCGTCCTGCTGGGAAAGACCTAGTGATCATTTTAATACTTTGTGTACACACCACCTGCACACACCCACATGCACATGTACGCACCCATGCATACATCCACGTGCACAATACACACCCACATGCACACCAGCACACACCCATGTGCACACGTGCACATACCCCCACATGCACATGTACACACCCGCACATACCCACATTCTTACACACCCATATATACACCCATGTGCACACACACGCACACACCCACATGTGCACACACACCTGCACACACCTATATGTATACATACACACACCAGCGCACACACCCATATGCACACATACCACCTCCACACACCTGCACACACACCCACACACATCCACATGCACACATGCACACCCATACACACACTCACATGTACATGTACACTCCTACACACACCTGCATGCACACCCACATGCACACGTACACAACCACACACACCCATGTGCCACATACACACATCTACACACACCCATATGCACACATACACACCCATATACACACCTGCACGTACACCCATATGCACACACACACATCCCATATGCACATGCACATGCACCCATACACACATATACCCCTCTTCGTTCACACATGTACACACACACACTCTTTAATGAAAATGGGATCACATAACGTATATTATCAGTAACAAGCTTCTCGTAGGAACACATTAGCAACACTTCCCAGGGCAACAGGTGCACATCTGTACTGCTATTGGCCACGACTGCCCAGTCCCACAAGAGCCTGAGTATTTCTTATTCAGGCAAGACTTAGCTGTGGGACGGGGACACAATATTGGTTTGACACCCCCATGGACAACAGCTGTGAGCACATCTGTTTGGGCATCATTGCCCTGGAAATAGGCAGTCCCCAAGTGGCATGGAAGTCCTTGCCAAAGGATCTGAGTCAACATCGTGAAGTCTGCCCTGGTCTGTGCCCCGTGGCGGTGATGAGGGCACCAGGCCCACACTCTGATGCTCAAGGATGCCCAGCTCCCAATGGCACACCCAGCAATGACCCAGGCCCAGACCATCCCCCCACCGGTCTCCCCACTCTCCGACTCACATAGATCACGCGGCTGGGAGACCCCGAGGTGCTGGAAGCAGGTACAGAGATGATGCTCTCAGAAGAGCTTCTGGTTTCCTGGAAAAGAGACAGGAGGAGACTGTAGCAGCACATGTCAGTGCCAGAAGCTTCCAGACGCAATCATCACAGGTCACGCTCCAACAGAAATGCCAATTGCGAGATTTTTTTTTTTTTTTTTAGGTTGAAAGAATTCTTAAAATAAACACTCGGGCTTGAATGAGCTGCTGGAAAGCTATAATCAGACAGACACAGCAGGTGACACAGGCTGCCAGCACCCCAGCGAGCTCTCTGCACGGTTGGAAACACTCCGATGATCACCCGGCTTGCGTGCACAGAAATTATGTTTCAGGGGACAAGAGCAAGCAATGCATTTTCAACCGATTCTGCATGCTCCGGTAGCAAAGGCCATCACTTTTACGCACAATGTTACTGCTCAGAGGTGTTATTTTCCACCTAGATTATAGGGGTGAGTGGTCATTGCTCATTCTACCAGCCTGGTCCTTTGCTGTCAGACTCTGTGGCCATGTCATCTGTGACCTGCTCCTAGAATGTCTACCCCATCCCTCCTCCCTCCCAGACCACACCTCCTGCTTCACCCAAGGGGACGGTTTCCCTGGCCCTTCCTCTGTCCCCTGCATCGGGGCCACCCATCCCTGCAAGGACACTGTCCTCCAGCTCCCAACCCACTCTCTACACCTGCATCTCTCCCCACCTATAGGGCGTGACCTGGCAGCTGTCTGCCCCCCCGGTCCAGCCTCCGCCCCTGCCTGGACCACCCACCACCTGGCTTTCCCATGCCACCCCTGCCAAGAATACAGACCTCCTTCCCCACCCCAGAGACAGCTCCCCCCACTGCCTCCTTTCTTGTTGCCATCCCTCTTGGTGTCCCATGCCCCCTGCAGTGAAGCCAGCAGCCTGGGAAGGGCCCCGTTGTAGGCTGAATGATGTCTCCTGAAATTCCTATATTGAAGCCCTCATCCCGAGCACGCCAGAATGTGACCCTGTTTGGAGAGATGTAATTAATGTAAGATGAGGTCACAAGGGGACGTTCTGATCCAATCCAATGGGGGTCCTTACAAGAAGAGGGGATCAGGACACAGATGGGCACAGAGGGACGACTGTGTGAGGACACAGGGAGAAGGCAGCTGTCTATACCCCATGAGGCCTTGGAAGGAACCATTCCTGCCTGCACACTGAGCCAGGACCCCCAGCCTCAGGGACTGGGAGAGAATACATTTCTACTGGTTGAGTCATCAGTCTGCAGCAGTGGCCCCAGGACACTCTCACGGGCCATAGGGTCCTCCCCTTGCAGGTGGAGGACATCCAGCTCCTCCTTCCCTTGGCAGGACAGCAATAAGAACAGGACAACATCCTGTCATGCCTGTAGGGCACAGAGGTGGCAGCCCAGGGAATCTGATCGTAATCCTAGTTATACATTCGGGGCAGAAAGAGAAGAGGGAGAGGGCACAGGGCTGGAGGTTCCCACCTCACTCGCCCATGCAGCCATTCTGGTCTGTCTCCGTCACCCACACTCCTGGGGACGGCCAGCTTCCTCCAGGTCCAGGCGTGGGGCCGCCCCCTCCCTCAGGGCCTTCCCTGCCTCTTTGGGCCCCGGCTGTGCCCCAGCGCTGGACGGGGCACTGACCCAGGGCTTCCGAGGGCCAGTGGGACTCAGCCCGACCGTACTGTGCAGTCTCGTGTCCTCAGCCTCCCCTGTGTCAGACACAGCTGCGTGCTGTCTGCAGAGAACGTCCCAAGACAGCTAACGGGTATGTGTCTGTCCCTGGCCCTGTTTGCAGGCGGCCCATCATACTGGCCCCAAATGAGGTCCGTGCACATTCTATACACTCGGAAAAAACCCTTTGAGTCTCTGCTTCCTTGTCTATAAAGGCAATTTCCCTGAGGATCCGACCAGTGACATGGTGTGCTGGGAGCCCAGTGCTGGCAAATCATCCTGGCTGTCATATCTTTTCAGCCTGGGCTCAGGACACAAAGCTCCTTGCTTGTAAAGCAGAGGAACTCGGGGTGTTTTCAAGGAAGGGGTGCTGAAGCAGGGAGACCCAAGGACGGCCCCACGCCTGAGGAATGCCTCCTGGCCCCGGGGCGACACCACCACTGTGATCCCAGGCGCTTGGGCTGCCTCCATGGATGCAGGGGCTGGCAGTGTCCCCGTACCTGCAAGGCGTCCCCAGCAGGCAGCTCCTCCGAGCTGAGTCCTGGGAACCTCCTCTAGGGCCCGGAGACCCGGCTTTCTCTCACTCTCTATTTGGACTCCAACACACCCCAAGGAGCCTCACCATTAATCAATACTTACTTGTGTTCTTGGGGGCTTGTTCACACCCATGGAGACAGATGGGGTCAGGCTGCTTGCCCAGCCCCTTCCCCAGCACTAGGCCTGACCCCCGGCAGGCACCATCCTGTAACAGCGACTGGGGAGACTGGTTCTCGCGGGGTCATGTACAAGTCACACTGACACAGTGCAAGGAGTGCACCACCCATTCATCTCCATGTTAAAGCTGAGGTCTGAGGCTCAGAGAGGGCTGGCGGGTGGCCCAGGGTCACACAGCCAGGTGGTGGCAGAGCTGGATTGTAGCTCTGAGGCTTATTCTACTGCCCCTGGCTGCCACAGGGAATTCCATGTCCCACATTCGGCCAGCCTGTCCTTGCATTGGGGCCTTTCCAGCTGGTCCCACCACAGCAGGTAGCTCAGGGCTCTGTGTACAGAGCAGAGTAGGGGGCATTGCCGCTTGAACTCCAGCCAGGGTCCTCACAGCCTGTGGGATCAGCCAGGCCAGCCCAGCCCCGCCCCCACAGCACCCCAGCTGGAGCAGAAGCCCACCTGACCCTCCCCCAGGCCACCTGACCTTAACTGCTTGGAGCCCCTCTCCAGCTACCTGGCTGGGACATCCCTCCCTGTCACCCCCGGAGCACCCTGCACCCTGGAGCCTGCCCGTCGCACTAGATGTCAGGAAGTCTACTAGGGCCAGGGACCGGGCCATCTCATTCATCTCTGCATTCCAGCCACCAGCCAGTAGGTACTCAGTAGGAGCTCAGTGGCTAGCTGTGTCCGGAATGAGCACATGACCCAGTGACCAAGGATGTACCAGGGATGTGCAGTCAGAGTGAGAGCCTTCTGGAAGGTTTTCCTTGGGCACCCTCAGTGGACACCCAGGAGACATCCTTGTCCTGCAGAGTCACCGTGCCCCGGGGGGATGTCTTCAGGGAGGACAAAGGGCCCTCCCTTTCCTAGCCTGTCCGTACAGGGATCCCGGTGCCAGCCTCTCCTACTGGAGAGCAACTCGGAGGCACGGACCGAGCTGGTCCCATGGGTCCAGGAGCCTGGCAAAGAGGGCCCTCGTTAAAGGACTGGTTATTGGTCAGGTAATGCTAAGCTCGCTATTGTCTGGATTACCAGGTAGCATGGGGCTTCCCAAACCTGGGGGCCGCTTCCAGAGAGAGCCAGGGATGCCCGCACCAGCTCTGCTGCGCTTCTCAGGGGCTGGCCCCGCCGAGATGACTCTGACCCAGAGCTGACCCGGGGCTGACCACGCCTGGCTGTTTCATGCCCCCCAAATGGCTTGCACGAAATGAACAATACAGGAAAGTACAGTTCAATCTTCCTGTCTCACAGCCCAGGAGCAGCCAGCCTGGCTGGGAGAACTCTCTGGAAGGGGACCCGTGGCCCAGGCCCGTCCATTCACTGTGAGCCCCACCCTCGGTCTGTTCTCACTTGGGTGAGACAGAGGAGGCTCTGAAGGGCTGAAGGGTGAAATGAGGGACAAGCAGGGCATGACCGGGGCCTGGATCCTGTCCCGGGACACAGAGGGCAGGCCCTGTGCACCAGCCCTGGGCACAGCACCAAGGGACAGCTGTTCTCAAGGGACAGTCTCGGCACCGGATGTGCCCGGGGTGTCAGCAGAGACACAGCCCAGGAAGCCAGGCCCGGCTGTGCAGCAACCCTCTCCTTCTTCCCTGTCTGGCAATCAGAGGACCTCCCATCCCTTGGGCCAGCAGCCATGGTCACAGCGGGCTGACCTCTGGGCTGAGACTGGAGGGTGCTGCTGCTGGCAGGCCTGGCTGTCCCGACCTGTCTTTGAGTGGGCTGGCCATGGGCCTGAGTCCCCCTGGTCACACTCGGGAAATGGGTCTGGAGGCTTGTCAGGTCCCTTTGGCAGGCTTTTGGGTGGGGATTTGGGGAGGGGTCCCACCAACAAATGTGGGGACCCTGCGGTCACTTTAAGATCAGTGATGCTGCCTGGCTCATCTCCAAGGCCTCGAGTAGCCCAGGAGCAGGGGCTTGGGAGCTCCATCAGCCACACAAGACAATGGTGCCCCTGCCACTTACCGCAACCCGAGTCGTGTACGTGACAAACTGGGCATATCTGTCCTCTGCAAGCTCGCCCGTGCCTGTGAACCTATGGCCACGCGCGACCAAAGGGACACGGAGCCTGATGGGACTAAGGAGAGCCTGAGCTGGGAGTCACTCTGGACGATGTGGATTGGGTTCCCTGGGATCTCGGGGTCCTGGTAAGGAGGGCAGGGGGCGATCGGGGCACAGGTAGTGACAGAAGTGAGGCCTCCAGACATGGGAACAGAAATGGAGGAGTAGAGGAGCCCTCCCTGGAGCCTCCAGACGGAGCACAGCCCCATCAGGGAGCACATCTGTGGTTCTTTAAGCCACTAAACATGTGGTCACTCAGTACAGCAGCCACAGGGACAAAGGCAGTCACCAGGTCCCTCCTGTGGTCTCTATGCTCTGCGTCCCTGGAGCTGGGAAGATGGCTTCCCTGAGCACTGGGCCAGGGGACAGGCCCCATCCTGCACATGCTCAGTGTGAGCATCCTGGGCCCCGGGCAGTGGGGGACCCCGGGACCCAGCCAAGGGGCGGCAACCATGGTTCCAGACAGGGAGGAGCAGGAGGGCAGGGAGAAGGCCAGGTGGGCACTCTGGGCCCCAATCCCAGTGTTCTAGAATTTGGGCTAGAGTTATAGGAATTCAGCCAAACTGGTGATAGGTGTCATCTGTGTGCCTGGGGAAGAGGATGGGCCTGGCCACCAGACACTGCTGGCATCCCTTCCCAGGCTGGGGGGCTTCCTGTGCCCCCTGCTTCCTTCTGCACGGTCTGAGAGGGCACCGAGCTCAGGGAAGCAGAACCGGGGGTGCTTAATCCAGGGTCCAGGAGCCACAGACCTGCCCTAGGGCTCCTCACCACTGCACTCCAGCTCCTGCCACTACCTACACCCTGGGGCGGGGATCCCTGGGCCTCTAGCACTCGGGGGACTCCTCCCCATCTGCACCCCAGGCCCAAGTCTTGAGCAGCAGCCCCTTAAGGTCCGTGCCCACCAGCCCTAAAAGGGGGCTCTCCAGGCTGAGCAGGCCTCCTCTTGGTGGGCATCAAAACTGAACTAAACCAAAGCCCCATGTAGACACTCAGAGGACTCTGAACAAAGCAACTGGCACCACCCAAGAAACAAGGTCACAGGTGAAGGGCAGGGCCAGCCCCGGAGAGGAGAGCCCCAGCGGGGAGGTCCCCACCTTTGGGCCCGGGCTGGAGTCCACAGAAAGGGTTGAACAATGGCATGATGGTGCCACAGATGAGGGCAGGCCTGGGGCCCACAAGAGGAAGTGCCTCTCCTCCACAGAGTCCTCCTGCCCTGGCCCGGGGGCGCCCTGTGCTTGGGTCCCCATCACTGTCACATGACATGAACGTGTGCCCCCCCCACCCCTCTGCCCAGAGGCAAGGCTCCATCACCTCTGGGCCCCAGGCCAGGAGCAGGGCCTGGCATAGCCAGACACTTGGTGACGTCGTGCTGAATGACTGAGGCTACCCGCAAGGTAGGCACGGGAAGCTTCCAAACCCACTGGAAGCAATTTCTAAGGGAAAGGGGAGAACGTCCCTCTGCTGGTTTCCTTCAGCGAAGGCTTACTGAGAGTTTGCCTGATGGGGCTGGGGCTCTCCCATCCTGTGGGGGCCAGTACGGAGAGGGTCTCCTCCACCAGCCAGCATCCCCTCAACCTTGCACTTGGTGCCCGTGTGTGGACTGTCTGGGGACTGCTTGGAGACCCGCTCATGTCCTTGCTGTCCCCAAACTTTTGTAGCCCTCATGCCCTCTAGACCCACGGAGAGGTGGGCGGGCCAAGACAGGGAGGCCCTGAGATGCCCCCGCCTTGGCCCGCACCATCCTCAGCACCCCCGGGCCTCGTGCCACCTGACCCGTGGCGCGGTGTGGCCGGCCAGCGAGCTGTCAGGTGCAGCTGACCACACACGGGCACCGAAGAAAGCACAGGAGCAAATCGTAAATTCCACCAACCTTGTTTTTGTCTTCAGTTCTGGCTGCTTGTCGGCACGCTGGGTGCCAGATGGAGGAGCCTGCGGACAGATCCCCGAGAGGGAGGGCTCAGTGTCACTTCCCACGATGCAGGGGCCGTGCAGGGAGTCAGCAGCAGGGGGCCGGCTGGCGTGCTGGAGTGGGTGCTGGGCCTGAGGCAAGCAGACCGCCGCCGGCCCCAGGGGCTCACAGCCCGGTGTCGGGGGGCGGGGGTGTACAATGAACGGGAAGCACATCACTGTGAGCTACCTGCCCAGCGGGGGCACCCGGGGTGCCCAGGGGCTTCTCGGAAGAGGGGTGTCAAGTGCGTTCTTGTTCAAAGGGGCGGGGGGAGAGAGGATGGGCTGCCTGTGGATGTGGGGGCGGCAGCCAGGCCCAACCACGGGCATGGCTGGGGCTGGGGCCGGAGCTGGGGATGGGGACCAGCCTTGGGAATGAGGGCTGGGGGGCGAGAGATCTTGACTGGGAGGCAGGAGGGGGTACCCTGGTGGGGAAACCAGGGTGTGGGGTGAAGAGCAGCACCGGGGGCTGCTGGGGGCCAGTCATGAGGCTCCGGCATTCGGCCCATCCCTCTCCCTGACTCTCTGGGTCCTGAGCCCTATCCTGCCTCAGTTCCCTCAGCAACCAGCACGGCTCCAGCACCCACACTGACACGCAGCTCCATCAAGGTATGGGAACACCACGCCCCTCCTTTTCCCAGTTCAAACTCAAGTTCTCTAGGCATTGGATTTTTCCCACCTGCCAACAGGGCTGATAACATTCCTCACTCATCGGGCCCTCAGGAGAATTCAGGGCGGTTCATCTGGGGTAAGGACATAGCAGAACGGGCCTGCTGAACCGTGCCTTACAGGTTCACTGTCTCGCTGCACTATGTCCGGTGTGGGTGGGCTCGGCGCACGTCAGCCCTCCAGCCTTCCCTGCGCCCTGTCCTTCAGGGCCCGGAGCACCTGCTCTCCCACGGGGGCCTCCCTGGGATCCCAGCCTGGCCCTCTTGCCTCCAAGGCTCTGTGTATAGGTTCACGCCCCATCAAAAAGGGGGCTGAGTCTTCTCCACACCTGCACCCCCCACCCCAAACAAGGCACACGGTGCCTGGCTCATGAGAGGCACTGGAGACTGTGTGAAGGAAAGAGCGGCATCCTATTTCTTGCTTGCAAATCCTTCCCAGGAGGGGAATCTTTTATTGCCCCCACCTGGCAAAACATGTGCATCTCCTGGAGAGCCCCGAGAGACCACGATTGAGGGGTGTGTGTGTGTATGTGTGTGTGTGTGCGTAAAACATTCCTCTTGACAACTATGATTACCATTGATATTCCTTATTAAAAATTAAAGACACCCAACAAAGTATAAATCAGAAAATTAAAACCACCTATAACCTCCTAGCCACTCGGTTTGGGCTGCTTTCCAGGTTTTTTTTCAGGGAACGTGGATAATGTTGTATAAACATTGCTTTCTGTCCTACGATTTGTTTCAGGTGTCTGAAAGTTTTCCCCACAGAAGTAACTATCAGAAGCATAACAGGGAGGGCCGTGGGACATCCCAGCACATGGAGAGGGGAGGGTTTATCTGTCCCTTGCCATCCGGTTGTGGCGTTTTATTTCTAAAGTCACATTGGAGATGGGGGGTTCCGTGGCACTCAAGTCCCAGCACACCCCTCCTGTTCACTCAAAGACTTCCTGGAAATGGAGTCATGTGGGCATTAAGGTTCTTGATCCATTCTAGCATTTTCCCAATTTTTGTTACACCAGCCAGGTAAAAGGCCCATTTCCTTGATTCCTCACAATGGGGCTGTGGCCTTCCTTTTAATCCTCGTCAACCCAGTGGGGAAAAGCAGCATCTCATTATTCTTTTCATCTGGGTCTCCCTAATCATTCCTGAGCATCCACAGCCGCTCCCCTATATTTCCTGGCAAGATGTGTCCCAGGGTTGGTGGTGCTGATGGTCATGGGGTGGGGGCTGGCTGCCCTGTTGTCCCCGAAGGCCGTGAGGCTCACTAGGGCCCCTGCTTTGCAGAGCTTTGACTGTATGGGATTCACCTGTCGACACATTCATGGAGCCCCAGTATCCAGGTGGACCAGGCACAGGTTCCCAGGGTGAAGAGGCCCCAGCTGGTGCTCCACAGTGTGGGGTTGAAACCTCTGACCTGGGTCCACCCCCTTGTCACACTGACTGGGAAACTTGAGGCTGGGAGAGGGGAAGGGACTGGCTTCCATGTCCCACACAAAGTCACGGCAGGACCCGCCGCCCAGAGCCATGAAGAGCATCTTTATTCCCTGAGACTGGGTCCCCCTTGATGGCGAGCTTCTGTCCCTGTGCTACGGTCCCAGCGCCATTGTGCTGGGTTTCAGGAAGGCCTGAAAGCACTATTTACAGTGGGGACGATGCTGGCGGGGGGGCCCCCTCCTTCCCAGACATCCCAGCAGCAACAGGAGGGGTGCAAAGGACCCCTTTCATGGGCTCTCAAGCAGAGATTCAAGGAACAAGAGGGGACACCGGGGACAAGGCCGGCCTAGCTGACGTCACCTCACGAGGTTGGGCTCAGAAAGGCAGGCCTGTGTGATACACAGCTCCAAGATGACCGGCCCCTGAGGTCATGAAACAGCCCATGTGGGTCTCTCCCATCAGCCCAGCCCTGCTCAGCCTGCCTCTGGGACCACTGGACACAGACGGACCATTGAATAGAAACAGTGGCTGAAGACGTGAGCTCTCCATATCCAACCCACTGTCTTGGGGAGGGGCCAAGCAGCCCTGGGTCCCTCTCCATGTCCTGGCCATCACCAGTCCATGGCTCTGCCTCCCACATGCTGCCACCGGGCTGGGTGGGGGGACCTCCCACCTAGTGAGTTGACACAGGCCACCCACCTGTTCCCACCTGGCATGCAGTAAGGGCCCGGGGCTGTTCCTGTCTTGCCCTAGAGGACTGGGTGGAGCGATTTTGTCCTTACCTTGAAGATACATCTCCTCGCCTTCCGCAAACATCCGGCCGCACCGGACGCATAGCGCACACAGCGGGTGGTAGTGTTTCTCTCCTGCCTGTGTAGACAACAAAACACAAGTGTTTCTGCTGAAACCAAAGGGGCCATAGAAGCAGCCACTCTTGGCTGGTGGGCACGGTGTGCCCACATGTGGGGTTCTCAGGGGGTGCTGAGTGTATGCTATGTTCCGTACCCATCAGGGGGTTCAGGATGGCGCCCAAGAAAGCCTGGGTCCACCAGGTGTGGAAGCAGGCCACATGCACCAGGGCGACCTGCACCGGGGCCACGTCTGGGAGGAGAGACCCAGCTGCACTGCCCAATCTGCTGGGGAGCAGGGTTGTCACCCAGGTCCTCCGGCTCAGTGGTTGATGGCTCTGCCTCCCTCACGGGGCAGGGGGCCAGGTCCTGTCTGTCTCTGTACCCGGGGGTGGGGAAGGGGCTCAGCAAGGGAGAGCAGAGGGGAGGCCGAAGCTAACGTGATCTCCCAGGTGAAGGCACTGGAGGGGTGGGCTGTCTTAGGCATCTGCGTGTGGCTCAGATTTCTCCATTCGCATTTACTGTTTTCATAATCCCTAGCGTCCATGAAATTAGGTGCAAAGATTAATATGGGATACCACGCGAATTAGTTACATAGGCTGGCGTGGCGTAGACGGCACAGATGAACTGCCCCACACTATCATCTTGGACATCCCTCCACGGCAATATTGGTAGCCTTGGGCTCAGGCGGGTGGCAGCCGGCTGCTGGCCATGGTGCTGACACCACCTTTCACTTTCCCTGACATGGGACGATCCCATGATCACTTCCGGAATGTGGGTTAGTAATACCCCTTCCCCACATGAGCACGTGATGGGGTAAAATGCGTACATGCACCTCACACTCCTCCCCTCACCATTGAGCTGTCGGTGACCACCTGCCCAAAGGTGACCCCTGTGAAGGAGAGGAGAGGCTCTGAACACTCCCTCTCCCGCGGGATGCACCCTGTGGCTCGGCCCACCAATGCTTCTGGGTGAAGGGATTCTTGCTAGGGAGCGCAAGGACACTGCAGCCTCAGTCCTCCTGCCCGCTCTGGGGCCTCCTCCCCTTCCCTCTGCTGGGAGCATCTGACCCTGCTCCACCTGCCCGGGGCCCTCCATGTTCTTCATCACAGCTCAAAGGCCGCCACCTCCTGAAAGCCTCCGCGGTACACGTCCCTAGTCTGGGTTCCTGCTGGTTTCGTCTTCCCCACTAGACAGGGCGCCCCTCGGGGGCGAGCCCTAGCTGGGGCCGCTTCAGGAACTGCTCATTGTGGGGACCTCTCTGGGCAGCAGGTCAGAGGGCAGCGTTGGCTCAGATGTGATGAGGGTGAAGCGGTTATTTCGGCGATATTAAACATGGCGCCCTCTGACCTGTCCTCACGCCCACCTCACCCAGGCCCTTTTCTCACTGGTGGGGGAGAACCCCCATGACCTTAAACAGTAGGAATTCTGTGAGGGCCACTTGGGGTAGAAAGCCTGCCCTGGAGGGCAGACAGACCCTGGCGTCTCCATGGGGTGTCTACTCCTGAGTAGGAGGAGAAAGAATACCATGGGGATGGTTTCTAAGACGACAGGTTGAAACTCCAACTGCATGGATGAGAATTAACAGAGTGGAGATGCAGCCCGAGGCTGCTATGAGGGGCCGGCCCTGCGTCCACAGTCTTCTGCCATCAGGGAAGCACTCCCACCCAGACCTGGTGAACGCCCCCGGCCCCTCAAAATAACATCAACTCCACCACCTTTTCCACAGCTCGAGCTGAGGCCCTTTCACATGCTACCTGGTCTTCACCCTCCAGAAGTCCTACGAACTACATCATTATCATTTTCCACACAGTGCACAGAGAGGTGGAGGCAGATGGGAAAGGTCACACAGCACAGAGCTGGTGGAGCATGACTGGAGCCCAGGGGCATGGCCTTCCGTGGCCTTCCAGCCCCAAGCCAGGCGGTCCTGGCTCCAGGGTGCCGACCCCAGCCTCACATGCTCCCCCACCCAGGCCCTGGACAGTCCTGAGAACCTGAGAACCTCAGGAGGGGGGAAAGAGGCAGACACTGGAAGGCACAGATTCTATTCACACCAAGTGCAGAGCCAGGCTTACGAGTCTCCTTTACTTAGAGTCAGGGAGGCGGCCGCCCTGGGTGGGATCTCAGGGGCTGGGCGCATTCTCCTTCTTGATCTGGGTGGATTGATGACTGAAATTAAGACCTAAAACTATAAATCTCTCAGGAGAAAACACAGGGGTACATCCTCACCACCCCAGGTTTGGCGGTGAGTTCTTGGATTACCCACCAAAAGCATGAACAGAACCAACAAAAATAGGTATTTTTTCCCCCACAAAAATTAAACTAGTGTGCCTCTGAGAACGTGGTCGAGAAAGTGGAAAGACAGTCTGTGGAATGGGAGGAAACGCTTGAAATCCTAGACCCAGGAAGGGCTTAGCACTCAGAACATAGAATTATATATCTATTATATATATAAAGAGCTTATAGCTCAATAACTATAGAAAGTGGGCGAAGGACTCGAATAGACATTTATTCCCAAGAAGATACACAAGGGGTCAAGGACCACATACAGGATGCTGGACGTCCCTGTCCCAGAGGAAGGGCAAGTCCAAGCTGCCACGAGATGCCACTCCATGCCCATTAGTGTGGCTATAATCAAAGCGAGACCCAAGGGACAGTGCGTGTTGGCGAGGATGTGGGGAGAGGAGGGCCCCATGTACCTGCTGGGGGGACGTGGGTGTGGCTGCCAGCGCCTGGAAAGGAGATGCAGGGTTACCACTGGACCCAGCAGTTCCACTCCTGGGTGGGAACAAAATGGAGACAAGAGCCCAGCAAGACACAGGTCCACACAACTTGGACGTGAGTGTCCAAGACAGCCATTTTCATGGTGGCTCCAGGGCAAATGGCCCCCGGGTGCGAGTGGGGAAAAAAAACTGTGGTTTGGCCACACAGTGGAATATCCTTCAGCCTTAGGAAGGACTGGAGTCCTGGAACTTGTGGCCCCGATATGTCCTAGGGGGACATCAGTGTCCTATAAGATGGGACACCAGAGCTCTGTCTCTGCCACATGATGGTCCAGGGAGAAGGTGGCCGTCTGCAGTGAGAGCAGCGGGCCCTCCCCAGGAACTGAAGGGGCCGGGCCGGCACCGGGATGGCAGACTTGTGGCCCCCAGCACAGAAAGGAACACTGTCTGGGGTTTCAGCATGCAGCGCCCGGAATGGCTGCAGCAGCTCCGGCAGACTAAGACCTGCTATAGAGCCCAAAGTCAAAGCACCCTCACTCTTTGGATTGGGCCCCATGGTCACTCCCGTCCTCTCTCCTGTTGGTCGCAGTGACCGGATGTTCCACATCATCTGAAGGCTGCTGCAGCCCCTGCCCTTTCAGAGCCTCTCCTCCCCATTCCCGTGCGCTATGGGCCTGCAGCGTCAGCACCAGCGTGTGGTCTCTGCAACCGCCCGGCCCCCAGCCGGGCAGATGGCCCAGCCCCACGCCAGGTGGGTCTCAAGATGGCTCAGCTTTCTGAAGAATATTAAAAACTCATGAGCTTCTGCAGTGCGTGGTTTTAAAAAGATGTCTGTGCCTCTGACAAATGGCTGTCATCTTTAATAAGACAGAACAAGGCTCATTAGGAACGCAGGAAGGCGGGCTCCAGGGGCCTACGGCAAGCGCTGTTCCTCATTCAGGACCAAGTCAGCGAGAAGGATCGGATCACGTTCCACCACGGACACGCAGGGCACGGCCAGCACAGGGGATGTGGGCAGTGTCTCTGGGCTCCAGAAACTCACGCCCCCCCCCTTCCACGGCCAGCCATGGGCAGCACAGAGGGACACCCCCGGCACATGGGAGGAAGGCGTCCCATCATCCTGGGCCACTTCCGTTCCCTGGACAACAGGCTGCACCCTCCCTCCCCCGCTGCTCTCTGCGTGCTCCCCTGGACACTGGCACCACAGGAGCCCACCACCGAGGCCACCAGCCCCCCAGGGGCTGCTCATGTGCCTCCACTGGCCCGAATCAAAGCTTGAGTTTCCTTGTTGAATGGCCAGAACCGAACCCAGATCTGAAAAGACCTCATCGCCAGCATGCGTCCAGATAACAAAATGCACCGTGAAGCCAACGGAAGCCTTGGGCAGGAGCGTCTGGCAACCGCACAGACTTCCCGGATCGGCTCCACAACCTAGGGCACCCGCAGGAGCTCCATCCCCCACAGAAGAAGAGCCCAGCTCCTCACCACGCAGGGCCCTGCACACGAATCCCTAGAGCCATCCGCAGCCCCTCCCCCGAGCCCCTGTCCTCACCCCTGCCATTGTCCCCATCGCTGACCCCACGTGTTCTCTCTTGGCTTGGGGTCTCTGCCATGTCACAGAGACGTGCCGAGTGCTCATCTGCGTACGTGTACACATGATCTAAAACAGTGATTTCTAAATGCTAACACAGTTTAGTCTGGGTGACAGCGTTCATTATGGATGAGCTTTCGGTTTATTTTATGACAAACAGGTGTTCCCTCTGAACATGTGTTTTTTTTTTTTTTTAATAAACGCATCCATCAAATTACAAAAAGAGAGGGAGCAGTGGGGCCTTGGGAAGTTGCCTTTGTTTCTGTCCTGAGGACATGCTTTTGTTTCTTTGGAATATATTTTCTCCCATTGATTTTTATCAATCATACCTACTTAGGAGGGTGAAAGGGAAGCACGCCAAAGGAAAACAGGAAAGCAAATAACCCAGGTCCTATAGCCCCAGGGGATGGCTTATTTGAAATGAAGAAATGTTTAGGGGCTGCCTGCCCTGAGGTGGGACCTTGCCTTCGAGACGCCCCCCCCGCAACCAGGGCTCCTGGGAATGGGTCAGGTGCAGGCAGGAAGCCCAGTAGCTGCCAGCCTGGGACAGGGGACACAGTGAGTGATCAGAGGGTCTGTAGGTTGGGGGGGGGGGGGGTTAAGAGAGAAGGGAAGGCAGGCAGGGGAAGGGAGAGAGGGAGGGAGGAATAAATAGTGGTCCAGGAGGGACCCTGGGCTTCTCATGGAGACAGCAGGCTGCTCCAGGCAGGTGGGGCTCAGACAGCAGCACCTCAAGGGTTAAGGAGGGCAGGGGCTGTCCCCCCACCCCCGACACTCCCACCTGTGTGGGGAAGCACTCCAGCTGGCAGAGAACAAGGCAGGGGTGGGGTGAAGGCCAGTATTGAGCAGGGACTCCCCTCCTCCCCCTCACTCAACACCCCCTTATTGAAGTCGGGGTCCAGTTGGTTTGGTCACACCACTGTCCCTGGCAGACAATCCCATAGCCACCTTTCAGCTCTCCTGTGGGGTGAGCCCACTGCCCGAGGCCCCCCACCTCTGCCCCCACACTCCCAGCCTTCGGTCTCCGCAATAGGGCCGGGCGTACAGCCCCTCCCAAGTCCCCACCAGACCAAGAGGGCTCCCCCACCTGCACTCCAGCATGGAGCTGGCTCCCCAAGACAGACACCCCGAGACACACAGGCTCAGAGAAGGCGCTGGGAAGATGATGCTACAGATTTAGGATAACTAAGGAAGGGGAGGAAGGGCTCCAGCATCGCCGCGAGATGCACATTTCACGGGCGGACAGGCCGGCGCTGCTGGCGCCCGGCATCAAGATGGCACTGTGCCCACCACACACAGACGCAGCAGATTGATGGCTCCTGCTGGCAGGGAAGGGGGCCTGGGCTGCTCTCCTGCTCAGGCTCCGAGGAAAGAAAAGCTCTGAGTGGGACAAGCATCTGGTGGGGGACAAAGCAGGGTGGGGGGGGTGACAACTGCCTCAGGGAGTCTGACCTGGAGAATCTGTGCCAGCTCCCTGCAAGCCCACCCACTTGCCACCCAGCATGGCTTCTGCAGCCTCCCCATCAGCCCTTTGAAGCGCCTGACCAGGCTTCCTACCTGCACGGGGTCCTTGCAACAGAGCCCGATCCAATCGGCCAGCCCCCACGGCCCCTCTCCGGTGCCCGCTCCCTAGGCAGGTCGGCTGGAACGGGCAGTGTGACCGTGAAGACGGACACCCTCTGCCTTCAGCCAGACATCTGGGTCCTGTTCCTTCTTTTTCAGATCCTGCCACCTGCTGCCCCCCCCCGAGAGCCTGCTGCCTGCCCAGCAGGGCTCCAGCACGCTCTGGGCCGAGTTCAGGTGGTGGTGCGTCGGCGGCAACGGCTCCCCTTCTGCGGAGCCAGGCTCGTCTTTGCCCGCCCGCAGCTGCCGCCTCGCAAGGAGGATGCTCAGAGCTTTGCAGAGCCCGCCGACTCAGCCACGCTGGGGAACTCGAAAACAAAAGCATTAATCTTCCCTGGGAGGCCCTACATCCCCCACCACTGGTGAGGAGGAAAATCCAGACCTGTTTCTCTCCTGTTCTTCGTAATTAAGATGGTCCCTTCCTGAAGCTAAACCTGAGAGCACGTTCGTGGGCACCGAACCCCCCCATTCTATATTTGGTCCAGCATTAAATATCAAGGACATACAGTGCACATGGAGTCACCCACAGAGGGGAGGCCTGCTGATGACCTGTGACAATAAGGAAGCCGCCAGTCCCCAGTATTTACCACGGGGCCAGCACTGAGCTGGGGACACTTCGGAGAGGATGTCTCATTGAATCCCTGAGCTACTAGAACGTTCTCTCGCTCAGCACAGTGCTTGCTGAAGGCAGGCAGCAGGGCTGGGGTCGGGTCTCCACCCCCGCCCCCAGGGTGCAGGGGCCGATGCCTGCGAGTGCCCCGAAGCTGGCCGGGCTGGGTCCACACACCAGCAATGCAACAGCTCAGCCCACCTGAGCCTGAAATGCTCCCCACTTTCTGCTGTCAGGTAGCACAGTGTGGCACAGTGCTCAAACAACACACAAACTGATGTCTACATGAGGAGAGAGGCTGCACGCCAGGAGGTGCTCTCACAGGTGCCAGGAGCCCGGGTAGCCGCAGTTCAACTCTGGCTCTGCCACCTGCTTGGGGAGGCCAATGGCCCAGCATACGTGTGCGGGGAGCCCAGGAGAGAGTAGAGGGTCTGGAATAGCCTTGCAGGGAATGCCAGTCTGAACGACTGGCAGTGGAGAGACGGGGCCGTGTCCCTAATACTTATAGGGCCACGGGTCCCGTAAGAAGCTCATAGTTTCCGTCCACATATTCAGAGGATGTGGGTGTCAATATTACATCACCACCCAAGACCATACGTACAAGATGCCCGCTAACCCTTTGCCAACAGCTCCATCTTGTGACCTGTACCGGCAGATGGAGCTGCAGACCATGAAGACCCCACCCCTGTGAAGACCCCCACCCACGAGGACTCTTCCCCGTGAAGACCCTGCCCCTGTGAAGATCCCGCCCCTGTGTAGAACTAACACAGGCACTGTAGTCTGGGGGTGGGACGGGCTGTCAGAAGGACCCGCATCGAGGGATGTAAGGAAGTCACCAAAGCAAGTGAGGACTGAAGTTCCCAGCCGCAGACCCAGCCGCAGACATGCAGGGATTCCTAAAGACTACACTCCCACTGGGGGAGTGGGGGCACCACACACTGACACGAAGAGTGGAAATTAGGGTCATCTTTCTGGAAAGCACTTCCTAACTGTCAAGACTCTTCAGAGGGTCCCAGTTGTTGACTGAGTGTCCACATTTCGATGAAGAAATCTTAAGAAAAACTAGAAATGCCAAAAAAAAAAAAAAAAAAGATGTTCGTCGCTGTGCTGTTTATCGTAGTAAAAAACTAGAGAGCTGGGCTACGTCTGATGATAAACAATCAGCTTACTACATTCTAGAACAGTCCTGTGATGGAATCTAATGCCAGATGGACCCACGCCGACCCCCAGAGCACCCTGGACACCCCACCCTGTGAGCTAGCCTGGCACAGAGGCCCGAACACTGACCCTGTTCACGTGCCCCGTGCAGAAGACGGAAGCCCGTGGAGACAGCAGGGAGACCCATGGGGCCGGGGTCGGGGCTGGGGCAGTGGCAGCCAGGGGATTGGGTTCTTGTTGAGGTGATGGAAACACCCGCAAACAGAGATTCGCCGAGCACGCGTCTACGTGGATACCGACCACCGGTGCGCGATATGCACTGAACGGTGTGGTCTACGAGCTATGTTCCCATGCAGCTGTTTAACAGAAAGGGCCACGGTACCCAAAACCCACCAGAAACAAAAACGTGGGGACCTGCTGCTTAGGAGATGCAACTTGGACAGACTCAGAATATAATGTTGTATCAACAGTTTGGTCTCAACCAGAATTACATGGAGACAGGAAAAACTGGAAGGAAACCAGCCAAACAGCTACCTGTGCCCGTGTTATGCATGATCTGCCCCCAACGTGTGCTGTGCACACTCTCCGCGGTCCAGGAGCATGTGGTCACACCCACCCTGAGGACCCTCGCGCTATGCACTGGCTTGAGGGGGTTCCCTTGCTGGGAATGAGGGGAGAGGCGGTCCTGCCCTGTGGATGGGTCTGACACCCCCTTCCCTTTCCCTTTCCCACTAGGAAGGGAGTGAGAGGGAAAGTGGGTGGGGGTTGAGGCCCTATGACAAATCTGTCCCTGTGGCTCAGAGGGACATCAAATGTAATTTCGAGACAAACGGCTCAGCGCTCAGTGTGCAATTCCACCGTGGCACTGGGGATGTCGAATATGTGTCAGGCACCAGCTGTGGGGGCTGGCGGGGCAGGAACCCTTGGGGACTCTCAAGGGGTACCCCCACGCGTCCCACTGTCCCCAGCCTCCAGCCTCCAGCCTCAGCAGCAGCTCCACACTATTTAAAATGTCAGTGTGACCCAGGCATTCTGAGGCTCAGAAGTCTTCGTCGGGGATGGCGGTGGGCGCCCGACAGCCTCGTCCCCCCACCTATCATCCCACCCCCAGAGGCCCATCTGTGACCTGGTGGGAAAGGGTCCCTAGCTCCCCAGCGGGCTCAGTGCACCTTCCTCATTCCCTCAGGTCCTCTGTGACCTGTGCCTTCTCTGGGAACATGGGCAGGCCCCAGCACAGAGCCAACGGGGGCTGAAGAATGGGGAGAGGGACAGGCTGGGTGTGACAAGCAGGTGGGCGGGGTACGGTCATCTCATGGGGTTTATCTTACTGAACAACTGTACCAAAGTGCACGCTACGTGTATTTTTCATAGAGATAGAACCTGGAAACTCCCACCAGGATCAAAAGACGATCTGTCGGCATCTCCCGGAAAGCCTGCCTACCCCATGACCACTGAGTGACTGGGGCTGCCAGGTGACCACTCAGGGTCTCCTGTGGGCACAGGGTCTTGCCTCCTGGGCTCACTTCCACTCCTCCAGGCCTCAGACCCCCATCTAGACATGGGAGGGCTGGACCCAAGCTCTCAACCCCCCCACCTCTCCAACTCCATCCGCTTGCAGAGGGCACGGGAGAGACAGCATCCAGGGAAGGCTTCCTGGAGGAGTTGGCCATCACGGAGCAGGCCTTGTAAGGCTGAGGAAGCTGCCCCCTGGCAGAGCTGGGAGGATGGGGGAGGCAAAGTCTCAGGGGCACAAATTCTTGCACAAACACACATGAACAGCAGACACCGTGAGATGCCGGGGAGCAGAGCGTGCCTCGGAGAGGGCACCCAGAGACCCACTCACCTCCAGCACATGCCCCGTGATGTACTTCTCACAGCCGTCACAGCGGATGCCAAACTTGGTGTGGTAGTCAGCCTCGCAGTAGGGCAGCCCGTCTCTGCAATGAGACAGGCCGTCAGGGTTCGTAGGGGGCTCGCCGGGGGCCCTGTTGGCTGAGTGAGGGCTGATGGCTGCCTTGAGAGGCTCAGCTGCGGGGATAAGGGCTGCATCTGGGAAATCGTAAATAGGCCATTTCTCACCAACCACGGGGCTCTTCCTTCCGGTTCACTCTGGGCCACGTTGGGCACGTGGGTGGGAAACGGCCTATTTACTCTCCAGGGGATGCTGAGTAAAGAGATCCCTCCGAAGGGGGTCTGGGGTGCCTTCCAAAATCATGAGCCACTAAGCATGTGTGACAAAGGTGCCCATGCCAGGGACCACGTTTGAGGAGGACGCAATGTCACATGGCATAGGTGGTAGGTGGGACAGCACCTCTCTGTCCCCTGGGTGAGGCAGCAGAGGCGTCCAGCCATGTGGGAGGAGTCAGGAGGGCCACGGGTGACCTGTCCACTCTGCACGTGTATTTATGGCGTGCCCACCACGTTTGTGGCGTGGGGAAGTGGTGACAGGTGACACACGGTTTTGGGTGCTGCTCCGAGGATCTGGGCAGCCTGGGGCGACTCACTTCAATGCTGAGCCTCCCCTGAAGGCACACTGAGGGAGGCAGCTGGTTTTCCAGGCTGCCGGTGGGAAGGTAGTGCGGGCACACGACCAGGCACAGCACCTAGCATGTGGTGGGAGCTGATTTGAAAGTGACTGGAATTAATTATTAAGACAGGAAATGGCAGGAGGCTTTGTGGCAGCCAAGGGGAGGCCCGGAGATGGGGCCAAGGTTCCTGGCTTGGTGGCTGTGCTCCATGCGGGAGGTGCTGGTGGGCAGCGGCGACGTGAACAGGCTCACACAGGACCACGTCCCTGCTCTGTGCCCTGGGCAAGTCGTGTAACCTCTCTGAGCCTCATCTTCCCCAACCATAAAACGGGAGAAATAACAGTAAGTTCTAAAGACGAGAAGGTGTGGCCAGCGCCTAGCACACGGCAGGCACCTGCCAGTTGGTGGCCAAGGCCACTGTCATTATTAACCAGGCCTACCCTCCCACCCCCGGCCAGGCTTGGCCCGGCTCAGCAGTAGTTGGGTGTGGAGGTCACTGGCAGACAGGGGCACCTGCTGCCTGCACACATCTCCCCTCCCCCGAACAGAGGAAGCTGCCCCGTTACTCCAGGTTGGGTTTTTTTCATTTTTACGCAGCTGCCAATACAAGGTAAGAGTTCTTGACTTTTGGGAAACCAGAGCTAAGACCCCCTCTGGACATTCTGTAGGACATAGGACAGGAAGGCTTCCTGGAGGAGGTGGCCTGTGGAGGAAGGGCAGTGGGGGTTTATAAGGCCCTGGGGCTGCGGTGGCTGCAGGGTAAGTCTCTGACCAGAGAGGAGGAAGCCCTTCCTTCCAGGAGAGGAAGAGATAAATTGAGCCCTCGGGATCTCCTTTCAAATGCCACTGACCTCAGGGCCCCTGTTATCCCCACCATGGGTGTGTGTGTGCCCCAAACCCAGAAGGCTCAAAGATAACATCTCCATAGCAACACCAACGCACCTCCCTGTCAATTCCAGGACCGCTCTGGAGGCTGCTGAGTGACAGGCAAGCCGTGTGGGTGAGCTACCTCAGTAGCGAGCACCCTGGGGGCTGGGCACGTTTATTTTATTTTATTTTAAAGTGCTCTGCCTCCTGGGGCTGCCTTCATGGGAATCACTCTCCTCCTTTCCTTCATTACGACAGAGAGGCCAGCACCTTCCCCCGCCTGATCCAGCCCGGACAGAGGCTCATCTTGGCTTGGGGACTCTAACTGAGAATGTTTTGTTTTGAGATGAGTATGGACTCACCCGGGGTTGTAGGACAGCAGACAGAGAGACCCCCCAATACCGTCACCCCGTTTCCCCCGTGAGTGGCCTCATGTACAGGGAGGGTACAAGAGCAGCCAGGAGATGGAGGGGGCACACCGGTGACCTGACTGGATGCCCAGTGACATGTACTCATGCTGTACTGTGTCTGTGTGTATGAGTGTGTGCATGTGTGGATGTGTGTGAATGTACACGTGTGCATGCATATGTGCATGCATGTGTACCTGTGTGTGGATGTGTGCATGCATGTGTGAATGTGTGTATGCACCCGTGTGTGCATATGTGCGTGTGCATGAATGTGTGTGCATGCATCTGTGGAGGCATATGTGTGCATGCGTGAATGTGTGTGCATTGATGTGTGTACACATGTGTGTGCATGCGTGAGCATGTGCATGCATCTGTGGATGTGTGTGCATGCATACACATGTGTGAATGTGTGTCCGCGCATGTGTGTGAACATGTGTGCATGGATATGTGCATGCGTGTGTGTGGATGTGTGTGCATGTGTGCATGTGTGTGTGAATGCGTGTGCATGTGCACTTTGTGCATGCATGTGAGATGAATGTGTACATGCGGGTGTGTGCATATGTGTGCATGGGCACGCACGTGTGTGAATGCATGTCTGCATGTCCGTGCATGTGTGTGCATGTGTATATGCACCCATGTGTGCATGTATGCATGTGTGTGAATGTGTACATGCATGTATGTGCATGTGTGTGCACACACACACAGGTTTCGTTCTGTGTGGTTCTATCACACTTCCAGTGCCTGGGCCAGTTCTGCTCCCTCAGGCATCGAGAACCTGTAGGCTCTCCCAAATGAGCTGCCCACAGAGGCCCCCAACTCACAGAAAGGACCCTGCTCTGCACCTTTCAGCTGTCCCCCTAACTCTGGGCCAGAGGGGCTTCCCTGACATAGTCCCCAATGCCAGGGGCTGAAATGCACCCCTTCCTGGCAAACCAGCTGCTTCTGCTCGGGGCTAAGATCTCCCAGAGGCTCCATCTGCACAGCTTTCGGATAAGATGTGCCCTCCAACCCATCACGGCATCCTGGCCACACGTCTGGGGTCCGGGGATATGGGGTCGGCCAGGAGCAGCAGCCAGATGGCCAGGCACTGCAGAAGTTGGAGCTGGGGCTGAGTTCTCCATCAGCTCTGTGACAGCTGCGGTGGCTCAGCCCTCTTCCCCTCACTCCCGCTGCTGGAGTCAGCTGGCCTCCACCATGCAAGCTACAGGTGACCCAGGGGCCTCATGAGGGTGACCCCTGGGGCCAGGCAAGGGGACGCATTTACAAAGGCAGAGAGCGGGGACGGTCTCTGTTTCGATCCACAGAATCGGAGCTGAAGTTTTTGCAGACCACACTGAGGAAGCCAGGCTGCTAGCAAAGATGCCAGGTAGGGGGACAAACACGTAGGGCCTGACAGGACAGGAGCAACCACAGGAGGGACGTGGGAGGAGCCCGCCACTCACTTGCTGATGTACTCTGCGTCCAACTGCTTCCCGCATGTCTCACACTTAAAACAGCCCAAATGCCAGTGTTTCTCCAAAGCCACCAGGGACTGGCCATTTTTTATTTCTGTGCCGCAGCCTCCACAACCTGAAAGAAAAAAAGAACAGGACACAGACATCATCACCATGGGCCAGAGGCGTGTGGGACCAGACCACTGGATCACCAGAGGCAAAAGTGTCTAGAGCCAACCTGTGGGAGGGGACAGAGGGGACAGACGGGACAGTCCAGCTGGGTGTGCTGGAAGAACCCTGCGACCTACCAGCCGGTGTGAACATGTAGAAAACCAATCACAAAGTTCACCCTTGCATGCATTGAGCGCTGACTGCATGCAGCCTGGGCTGGGAGCTGACAGAGGCCAGGATGGCCTGGGGCTGGGTGCCCACCCCCCACAGCAGGTGTGCCCTCGAACAATAGCGCACTGCAGGGTGGGGGCTGCTTGGAGGGGATGCAGCAGGTCTGGAGGGGGGGGCCCATCTGTCATCTTCGGTTGACAAGGAGAATGTGAACCTAAGTGACCTGGCCAACGTGCCGCCCCAAGGAGTTGTGCCCCCTGCCACTCCTTCCCCTGGGCGCTCCCCTGCCAGGATGCCCCTCCCAGGAAGCCCTACCGGCCCACCCGTCTGGACCTCCTTCCGTGGCCATCTGTGCCGCATCCCAGACACAGAAAGACCGCCTAGTCCCCCACCCGTGTTCCTGCTCCTAGTCAGCCCGAGTCCGAGCCAGGCCCCAGGAGGGCAGCCTCGGGGATTCCTCCCTTGGCAAACTGCCCTCAGGTGATGCGTGCTTCTCATCCCACGGTCCCCACCTGGGCTGGATCCCCACACCTCCTCTCTCCCTCCCAGTGTGCCCGTCCCTGCTCGATGGCTCCGGGGTCCCAGGGCCTCCGGGTCCTGATCTGGCCCAGCCTGCCTCCAGGCCTTCCAGCTGTGGGCGGCCACACCAGGCCCCCCAGCACTCTTTGGGTCACAGTGAGCCAAGCAGCTCTGTCCTCGGTGGGCCCCCGGTTCCTCGCGGGTGGGGTGGAGCGGTCCCATTAAATGACAAAAGCCAAAGACCACACTCACCACACCTGCACAAGGAGGTGCCTCCTGCCAGGACAGAAGGGGACGGGACGTGGGCAGGGTGCCTAGCAGGGGCTCCACAGATGCCCTTCGGACCCCTGCTCCTGCCCTTCTCCTCAGCAGACAGGGTATAATTGGCTTTAAGAAGAGAAAATATTTGATGCCCACAAAACTGTTGGTCAAGCTCTGGCTTTCCTAAGTTACCACACTGTTCAAATCCACGTGCAACACCTGACGCTTGGACCCGAGCTCCGAGATCCAGGGCCACGAGGGACAAGAGCGGCTTGTTCATCTGGGGACCCTGGGGGCCCAGCATGGGCTGGCAGCTCAACCTTGCCGAGTGGACACACTCGTGAATGAGTGAATGAATGAATGGGGACCAAGAGAATGTCCTCCCCACTCAAGCTCAGGAGGCATTCAAACCCCATCCCCAGCCCTCTCCCTCCCTCAATCCTCCAGCAGCACAGGGACAATGCAACGCGCAACTCACACCTCGCAACGTGCCCGTTGTGGATTTGAGCAGTCTGGCTTTGAGCGCAGGCTTGCTCTATAAGCTCCAGGTCACTGCCTCGAAACCGAAACCGAGGATGACTGTGCTCCCCAGAGGACCCTTGGAAATGTCTGGAGACACTTTGGATGGCCACAGCTGGAGGGGGCAAACTCCAGGCACCTGGAGGCTGAGGCCAGAGATGCTGCTCACTGTCCTCCAGAGGAAGGGACAGTCCCACGGCGAGAATCATATGGGCCCAGTCAGCAGCGCCCAAGTGGAGAAACCCAGCTCGGAGCCTTAGCGTGCTTCTCCGGAAACGCATAGAGCAAAGGAGCACGCCACCCCGCATCACGCCTGGGGTGGCGGGGCGGCAGGGTGAGCAGCAGTTAGAAATGTGGCCCTTGGAGCCAGGATGCCCTCCCCATCTGTGTGACCATGGGCAAGTCATGCAAGTCTCTGTGCTCAGCACAGTGGGGATGCATTTTATGGGGGTAGTGAAGATCTAGGCTCACACACTTGTTACGCGGCTGAGGACAGCTAACAGCTCTAGGCCCACGGGGGTGTCTGACAACCAACTCCATGCACACAGGGCCGAATGCTGGGACTCGTGCTACTGTTGTCACGATGGGAAGACAACGATGGCCCGATGTCCCGCGGTCACCATCTGAGGATGCCTCTGACAGCACACTCTGCCTCCTGCCCCAGGGGAGGGCCCAGAGGCTCTAGGTCAGCGTGCCAGCTGCGGCTGCAGGGGGACACGGACCGGACACCGACCTCAGCCCTTCACTCATCCCGGCGACCTCAGGAAGAGTCTCAGAACCGCAAGCCCTGACCTCTGAGATAGAGCAACACGCTTGAAGGACCATTGTCATGGAAACAGCAATCCTCACTTTCCAAACACAACTGGAGCTCAGTGTGGCTTTGCAGGGCTTTGCAAATGACAGCACAGGATCTGGTGACGAGTCATCAGCAGAGGGGATGTCCTCGAGGGAGTGTGTCCCCACTGCTGAGGGCAGAGGTTGCCGGGAAGGCCGCCCACTCACCCACACACCCTAGACTAGCTCATCACGGCAACGGCAATGAGCCCCAGCTGTGAACTGAGAGGGTCAGGCCCACTGTCGCTCCTGCCCTCCAGGTCAAACCGGGTCGGGAAGCAGGAAGGGCTCCGAGTTGAATCCGAGCTTGACTTCAGAAGGCATGGAGCCCACTGAGGTCTAAAACGTGCAAATGCTGACATGTTATGAGCGGGACCTGTCATTTCTCTGAAAGCCCCAAACAGTGGAAAAGTGGGAGCAGCTGCTGGGAGAGAGAAAGCGCGTTCAAGTGCACCCCACGCACAGGGGCTTGGAGCTAAACTGGCGACACCCACCCCTGACTGCTGCTCGAGGGCGTGAGGTGCATGGCTGGAAGGCGGCCAGGAGTGGGTGTTGGCTGCTGGAGGCTGCAGCACTCCACAAGGCAGGTGCACCCCAATAGCAGTCATGGTACCCCACAAGGCATATAGCTCAGCCTCGCTGCCCCGTCTCCCAGGCAGGAGTGGGCCAGCCAGGGGGTTGGGAAGCCTCTCTTAGGGAAGAAGATGCAGAAGCTCCAAGGGCCACAGACTAGATGGTCTCAAAGGGAAGGGCTGTGGACCCTCGGCCTCGTCCCACTTCCTCCTGACTCTGGAGGGGCCTCCAGGGGCCCCAGCTCCAGTATGACCCCAGCTCTGGGTGTGAATCCATCAATGCCCTGGTTGGGCTGAGCCCCAGCCGGTGAAGCACGGACCCAGGGTGGGTGCAGAACGGGGGGCCAAGCCCAAGAACAGGCCCCAGGGCCCCTTGGCTCAGACAAAGCTGCTCCCCACTCTGGTCCCCCAAGGCCTCACCGCCTGCCCACCCTGCCCCAGACCCTTGCCCCCACATAATTCTGATCCCGTGCCCAGTCCCAAGGCCCAGAGAGGGGACACAGCTTGCCCAGGGCAAGCAGGGGTGAGTGGGAGGGTTTGCCTGGGGCAGCCGGGCCCACAGCTGTCCCTGACATTACGGTGCCAGGCCCTTGGGAGGGCTGCCCTGTGGCAGTGAGACCAGCAACCTGTTCAGAGCTGGAGCCCGGAGGAAGAGAAGCAATAAGCCCTCCTGGGGAGGAGACCCTCCTCCAGTGGGGGAGGCGGCCCAGGGCAGCCGCTCTTGTGCAAGCCTCAGAAGGAGGGGTGTGCTTCTCCAGGGATGGAATGGCATGGGCGTCCAATGCCAAGTGCTTATCCTGTTTCTAAGCAACAGACTCAGGGCCAGAGAGCAGAAGAGGGACTCCGAGGGATGCTCAGAGCCCAGGACTCCAGCTGGACTCCTACCACTATAGCTGCCCCGGGGAAAGGCAGGTTTCACCCTTTCACCCCACTGCGGGGGGCCACAGCACCTCCCCCAGCCCCGCAACCTGCAGGCAAACCACACTGCTCAGGCTCCTCCCGGCACCCCTCACTCAACAGCCCTCTATGGCTCCTCGCTGCCTCTGGGACATGCTTGGGACTCTTGGCCTGGGTCTGCCCTCTGGTTTCCATCTCTCCTGTTTCCTTCTGTTCCCTGTCCCCATGCAGCAGCCCCCCTTGTCCACTCACAAGGGTCTGAGGGTGGCCCACGGCACCTCCCATTTTCTCCCTGTTCTATAGAGCCTTCTCTTCAACGCCCACCAACCTGAACCCTTGTGTCAAGTTTCAGAAACAAGGCCACCTCCTTCGAAAGCATCTGTCACAGCAGGGTGAGCTCCCAGGCTTCAGAGTCTGAAGGCCTTGGCTCAAGCCTCAGGGGCACCATTCCCCAGCTGGGTGCCTGGCACTCACCCGCCTCCCCACCAGACTCCGGGCACTTCTGCACCTGTAGAAGGAGAGGAGGCTTCCTGCATAGCACGGCTGCTCTGGGCACAAAAGGAAGCAGGAACTCGGAAGATTTTGCAAACATCCACGCAAGAACCAAGAGCTGGTGATGAATGTTTAACACTTTCTAGGCACAAAGGAGGTGCTAAGCTGAAGAGTCTCACTGAACTGGAAGAGGGGACAGGTCACATTATTAGACCATCTGAGGGTCAGGGGAGCATTTGTTCTCTGGAAAGGTAAATTTGATATTTTAAAGTAAATTTACATTTGGAAAGGGCAGAGCCTTTTAAAACTCTCACCAAATTCTCATTGAGTCCGGGTTTGGGCATATTTCCCTTTTTACTCTGGCTGCCAGGGAGCTCTGAACAAACTGTTTGAACTAATCTCGCCCCCTTTTTCAATTTTGCTTATTCGAGTTTTTTTATTACTATTTCAGATTTCATTATAACAGTATCAATTGTGAAGCAAATTCTCAGAAGTTCAGGCAATCCTGTCCTCCACAAGAAAGTTTTGAACGGAGGACTCTCCGAGCAAGCCCCAAATCCACAGCCTCACCAGCCGGAACTGCTGTTCGCTGGCCTCTCCAGGGGATGAAGGCTTCGCCTCCTTTCACTACTACCAGACCCCTAGGTCAGCCCTGAGCTTCTGGAAGCCAGCAGGGGCAATCTCCTTTGTTGAGAGGCACTCGAGCCCAGCACTGGGGCGCCACTGTGACCACGGCATACAGGGCGGGCGCTGAAACTCCCTTCCTGTCCGGGGAGCATGGCAGCAGCAGGCCTTGGAGCACTGGGCCCCTTTTCCTTCCCCACATCCCCCATCTGGCCCAGAAGAGCCGTGGAAGCCATGGAAGGCGGCTCCTGCCTGCCCCACATTGTTCTCGCACTGCCCTGCACCCTCAAGGACACTCCAGCTCACATTTGTTCTGTGACAGTCTGCTACTGCTTCCAACAAGCATCTATTGAATACCCATGGCATACAAACCTGGGCCTTGCTCCTGGGGCATGGAGCAGTAAACCCAGGAACTCTCGACCTCAGGCGCCCAGAGTTCAGTGTTCTCCCAATGACTCCCCCAAAGGGTTTCTGAAGGGTCTAGAATTACCTGTGGAGCTGAACGTGTGTGTGTGCAGGGGAGAACCAGAGGAAGCCAGGAGGCTTCCTGGAGGAGGCAGGCTGGAGGGCACAGACTCCCAGAGAATTCTGTCCCTGGTTCCCTCCCTGTGTCTGTCTGTCAACAGTCACCGTTCACTCCCACTGCTTCTGCTTCGGGTCCAGGTGGTCAGGTCCCTCCCACTTTCCCTTCACCCCAACCCCTCTGCACCCACTTACTCCAGAGGCCCTGGGACAGGTGCACGCTGCTGCCTGCTGTCTTGGGCAGGGAGCACTTCTGACACATGCATTCCTTCCCGTTGAAGGTCACTCGATCCCCCGGCGGAAAGGGCAACCTGAAACAAGAGAGCACGTGACCAGCCAGGATTGCCTCCTGCTCTTCTCCTGGGTGGGGGCGGGGGGGCAAGACTCCCCCCCATATAGCACCACCTGCCCGGGGCCTCATGGAGACAGCACCTCAGGCTGAGGACACAGGACCTCCCCACCAGGCACCCCTGCGTTCCTGCCGTGTGAGCCCCGGCTCATACCCAATGCCCTAGCTTTGGTTGGTCCTCTTCTGTACAAACAGGCAGGATGGCGGGGCCCTGGGTGAGGAAGAGCGAGGGCCAGCCTGGTGCTTGGCACATGGCAACGGACCAGGCAGCCTCAACCACCCCCTCCTCCATTCACCCCTGCCTCCTCTGACCACCCAGGATGCTTTGTTCACATCAGTTCATCAACAATGGCACCTGCCTGCATTTATTGAGCACCTACTGTGTGCCAGGTGCCACGAATTACAGTAGCTACCCCACATGCGTGCCTCATGTAATAACTCCAGGACATTTGTCCAAGCTGAAATTTCCTTCATTTTTTTCTCTGCAGGTGAGAAAACTGAAGTTCAGAGAGGGTAGTTAACTTTTCCAAGGACAGACAACTGATGCATGTCAGAACCAGAGTCAAACCTAGACCTGTTCAGGCTCCAAAGCCCCCTGATTTATGTACCCACTTGGACCTCGAAGAAGTCAGTGCCTTGTACAAGCAGGCCTCGTAGACACAAAGGTATCACATATTCTCTCCCTTCTATTTAAGTTCAGCATTTTGCTTATCATGAATGTTTTTGCATTAATTTTTAATTTTTTAAATATCACATTAAAATATCATGTACCTTGATTGCTGATTTTTTTGGGCATCGCTGAAATCCCACATCCAGACTGAGTCCCAGCCCTGGTGCAGGCTGGGTAGAGGCAGCAGAGAGCCACCTTGCATCCCTGCACCAAGAACGTCCCCCCCTGGTTCCTGAGAGGTGGCTGCTCTCCAGCAAGGGAGGGACAGGCCACCTGTAGGCAGGGCTGGAAGATCGATTTCGGTGTCCTGCCCGTGTCCATCCTGGCCACCTGCTGCCACTGAGTTCCCGGCTGCCCTGGGGCCACTTTCCTTCCCCAGCAGAGCCTGGCCAGAGAAGAGCTCTGGGGCAGTAGCCTGCAAGATTCTCTGCACCAGGACATGCCCTTTGCTCGGGTTAAACCTTCGGGTCTGCCCTCTGCCTTCTCGGGGCTGGACAATTCTGTGGAGCATCTGGGTGCTCAGTAGGTACTTGCTAATGAGTGAATGAGTGAGTGAGTGAGTGAATGACTGAAGGCCTCTAGGGGGCCTGACTCAGAGCCCCCTCCTGCCTGGCCTTCCCATGCAGCCTGCTCAGTCACACCAGCCCCAGGCCAGTCCCAAGCCGGCAGTGTTCATCCCCGCAACAGAGCCTGCCCTAGCCCTTGCCTTGCATGGCTGGTGTTCATCCAGCAGGTGTGTTCTGGGGCCCCAGGGGCCAGTTCCTGGTCTTGTGGACCCAGGACACGTACAGGATGAGCTGATCCCCCTCCCCAGGCTTGGGAGACGATCCCGAGGACCTGGCTCCTCAGGGCCCAGAGCCTTTGCAGCTGTTGTCACCTGCCATCAACATTGTGCCCTGCTGCTCTCTCCTAGAGTGCAGCTGCTGGCTGGGTAGTGCCGGGTGTTGGGTGTTGGGCTAGACTGAGCATGTGCTCTGATAGGGTCTCTGGCTGTGTAACCAAGAGTAAGTTCCTTACCCTGTCTGAGTCCTGTTTCTCACCTGTAAAGTGGGACTTAAAATAACTATCTCGTGGGGTTGTTATTCAATCCTCCCACTCTCCTTACCTCCCTTCATCCATCTATCCTTCCATCCACACATCCATGTATCATCCATCTATCCATCCATCCATCCATCCATCCATCCATCCATCCATCCTTCCATATCCATCTATCCATCTGTCCATTTCCCTTCCATCCATCCATCCATCCATCCATCCATCCATTGGACAAACTGCATTGAAAGCTCTAGCATACTGCCTGGGGCCAGGTGGGGCTGAATAAATGATAGCTATTATTTTATTAGTTCAACTTTATTGAAATACACTTTGACAAATGCACCCATTCATGTTATCAACACCACGGTCATGATATGGGACATTCTGTCCACTGCAAAAAGTCCCCTGTGACTCTATAGTCACCCCCACCACCACCCATGGCCCCAGACGACCATCATGGGCATTCTGCTGCTGTGGATTGGAAATGTCTTTCCTAGAATTGCAACTGCAGGCACATGGAATCACACAGTACATAGGCTTCAATGTCTGGTTCAGCGCCCTGCTCCTGATATTCACTCCCGTGGCTGTGTACATCCGTAGCTTGTCCCTTGTCATTGTGGAGTGGTGCTCCACTGGCCAGATGAGGGACAACATGATTCCATTCATTGCTGAAAGGCATCTGGGTTCTTTCCAGTTTGGGGCTGTTACAAATAAAACTGATAAGAACATTTGGTGACAAGTCTGTCCGTGGACATGTGCTTCCACTTCTCTTGGGTACATACCTAGGAGTGGAATCACTGGGTCACAGGCTAACTCTCTGTTTATAACAAACTGCCAAACTGATTTCCAGACAGGTTGTACCACTTTGCAGTCACCCTGGCAATAGATGAGCATTCCTTCAGCTTCATATCTTCGTCAACGCCCACCTTTTTAGCTTTAGCCATTCTGGTGGCTAGATGATGGTGTTCCACCATTTTAATCTACTCTGTTGCGTGTGCTTATGGTTATTTGCATTGATTCTTCTGTGGAGTGTCTGTTAAACTCTTCTGCCCATTTTTAATAAGGTTTTTGTTTATCTTCTTATTGATGACTTACAGAAATCCTTTATATATTTTGGATGTCAGTCCCTCATCAGACATATTTTATCTACCAGTTGATGGCTTGCTTCTGTACTTTACCAACATCTTTTGACATCATTTTTCTTCTTCTAACTCTACTGTCACTTAGGTGTGCTGGCAACAAGTTCTCTTAGCTTTTATGTGTCTACAGAAGTCTTTATTTTGCCTTCATCTTTTTTTTACAGGGCAGACACATTTATTCATGTTATTTTAATCACATACATCTTGGAGATACTTCAGTTTCAGTTCCAGACCACTGCAATAAAGCAAATATTGCAATAAGGCAAGTCAATTGTATCTTCTGATTTCCCAGTGCAGAGAAAAGTGATGTTTACATTGTAGTCTATTAAAGGTGAAATAGCAATAAGTCTAAAAACAAAAGTACAGACTTTAATAAAAAGTACTTTATTGTGAAAAAATACACTAGCCATCATCTGAACTTTCAGCAAGTCATAATCACTGATCACAGACCAGCATGAAAAATATAATCATACAAAAGTTTGGCATTTTGTGAGAGTTACCAAGAGATGACACAGCGACATGAAGTGAGCAAATACTGTCAGAAAATGGCACTGACACACTCGATGCAAGGTGGCCATGAACCTTCAGCTGGTAAAAAATGCAGTATCCGCAAAGTTCAATGTGCCTGTACATAACGTTCATACCATTCAGTGTGTGTGATTCAACAGTTTCTAGTGTATTCAGACTCACACATGTGTCTCCATGATCAGTTTGAGGACTTTTTCATCATTCTAACAAAGCAACTCCGTACTCTTTAGTGGTCTTGACTTCATTTATTGAAAGTCTTTCTTTTTCCCCCTTCCTTCCTTAATTCCTTTCTCTCTCTCTTTCTCTTTCTCTCTCTCTCTCTCTCTTTCTTTCTTTCTTTTCCATGGTATGGAAATTGTGTGATTTTTTTTTTCCTTATAACTCTTTAAAGATGCTATTCCATTGTCTCCTGGGGGTGCATAGTTTAGATAAAAAGTCTGCAGTCATTCTTTCATTCCACTTTATATCATGTGGGTCTTTTCTCTTCCGTGTTAGATTTCTTCTTCTTATTTTTCAAAAATTTGGTTATGATGGACTTAGTATGTTTCTGTCATGTTTTTTCTGCTTGGGGTTTATCAAGATTCCTGGATCCATGCATGGGCTTATAGTTTTCAAGATTGGAAAATTTTCAACCATTATCTCTTCAATTATTTGGTCTTACCCCACCTCCAAGGTTTCCCCCTCTCAGCCCAGACAGGCAGAAAGATTCTTTATACACAGATCCCTGAATCTTTCTTCACGTGTTCCAGTCTTTTCTGTCTCTTTGCTTTAGTCTGTATAGTTTCTGTTCTTATGTCTTCAGGTTCACCAAGCCTTTCCTCCTCAATACCTAATCTATTGCTAATTCCTTTGAAGGGATCTGTCATCTCAGAAATTGCCTTTTTCATTTTCAGAATTTCCACTTGGCTTCTTTTTATTCCTTCCATATGACTTCTCTTACATCACATTCTCCTTTAAATACCTAAGCATATTTTCAATACTGTTTCAAAGCCACCATCTGCTGGTTTCACATCCTTCTCATTTCTGGATCCCACAGCTATTGGGTTTTTTCTTCTGCTTTGGGTCTCAATGCCCAGCTTCTATGGCTAGTAAGACCTGAGTGGACGTTGGGTGCTGCCAATGCTATGTTGCTCAGGGCTGGATTTCCCGTCTTCCTATGAAGAGTGGTGGAAGGCAGTTAGCCTGTTTGCAGATCAGTGCAAACCTTTGGGGGTTTATTCTGTCCTTCATTTCAGTAGGTGCTTGTAGCCTTTGCTCTTGGGCTATTTTACTCCCACTAATAATGCACAACTTAGCATCCCCACTGCATACCTGGGTCACATCTTGAATGTCTCCCAGCCCTGGGAACCATTCAGCTTACAGCAATCTGGCCATTCTTTGTCCACCTTGTGAAATGTACTCTATGCCTACATGGCTTTGTGTTCAGTGATGTCTCAAAGGTGCCCCTATGTTGCTTTCTGCACTTGCTCTGTGTGGCTCCCTCCCCCTGGCACACAGCCCCTGCTGCTCTTATCACTGCCTCCTGACCCAGCCTCCTGGTAGTGCCACTCCAGGAACTGTCACCAGGCAAAAAGCTGGGTGGTTGCAGGGTCCATTGTCTTTGTGGTCCTGCTCTTTGTCCCACGCGGACTGTGCCCCAATGCCCCCAAACAATTAATTCATGTAGAGTATTGCAATTGTGTACAGAGGGTGTAAGTCTGGCCCAGTTACTCCAGTGTGACAGAGCTCTCTGTTGTTATTTTAAAAATGGAAGATTATCCAGAAGTGATCTTTCAAACTTATTCTGATTATGTCCCCTTGTCTCTAAGCTGTGTGCACAGCAATCAAACATTGGATTTTCCTTGTGGGAACTCTGAGACCCACACATGCTGCAACAGCACAGTGACTCTCATTAGAGATAGTTCCTGTCATTGTTCCCTCCTCTCTGCATCCCTCTGATGAAAACATCCACTTCTACCCAGCACACAAGCCCTAACCACAAACAACAGCTTTGGCAACAACACTCAAAAAGTCCCCCTTGAAACTGGGTGTGGTGAGATTGAGAAAACAGAGCAGAAGATAAACTCGGGGTTCTTTTTACTCTTTGCATCTTCAACATAGAACTTCTTCCTGGGAGCAGTGTGTCTAGGGCAGGGAGTGGGGTGCAGGAGGTTTGCTCACATGGGAAAGCTGCTTCTGGGCTCTCTCCTAAGTCCCCAGAGGTGCAGGGTGGAGCAGGGAGCTGGCTGAGGCCCTGCTGGGAGGGTCAGGCTCTTTCTAACTGCAGCAACCCTCCACCTCCTCCCTGCTTTGGGCCTTTCTCATGGATTCTAGGGGGCAGTAGGGAGGAGAGACAAAGAGAGGGGAGGTAGGGACCCCAGGGCAGAGGTCGTGGCAGGACCCCAAGTAGGCACACTTTAAGACCTGCATAGGGGTGGTGGCTGGGAAGATTCTAAAAAGAGAGGGACCCTTCCCCAAATCTGGAAGATACCCATGCTTAGGGGCCATGCACCCAGTGGGTGGGTGAGGGGCCACCCACAGATCAAGGACCTGGGAGCAGCTGAGGGGTGGTGGTGGGTGGGCAAGGATCGGGTGAAGTGTGGACCCCACAGGCACCAATGTGAGAGAAGAAACACATGGAGGATGCTGGGAGGAGAGGAGCTCAGCAAGGGGGCCAAGGAGACTGGGGAGGGAGCTCCTTCCCAGAAGTCCAAGGAGGCCCCACATTGGCAGCCTCCGAACCTGCCTCTGTGCCACCACCACCACCACCCCCAGGAAGGAGGGCCTGGTCCTTCCCTTCAGGCAAAGGGCGGAGGCCTGCATGTTCTGGGGTTGGACAAAGGTATGTCTTGGTGTATAGCCGTCCTGTGTCCACCTGCCACCCTGGAGTTGTGCCCTGCCTCCCCTCCCAGCTGTGGCCCAGCAGGAGGGAGGAGAGATGGAAGGAGGGAAGGAGGGAAGGAAGGAGGAAGATGGAGTGAGGAGGGAGGAGGCAGGAGGATGGGGGGAGGAGGGGGAGGAGAAGGGAGAGAGGAGGCAGAAGAACAGAGGGAGGAGAAGGGAGGGAGGAGAATGGAGAGGGGGGGAAGGAGGGAAAATGGAGGGAGAGAAGGAGAGAGGAGGCAGGAGGACAGAGGGAGGAGAATGGAGGGAGGGAGGGAAGGAGGGAAAAGGAAGGGAGAGAAGGAGAGAGGAGGCAGGAGGACAGAGGGAGGGAAGGAGGAGGAGGGAGGAGGGAAAGGGGATGAGAATGGAGGGAGGGAGGAGGATGGAGAAAGGAGAGAAGGAGGGAGAAGGACAGAGGGAGGAGGGAGGAGGGAGAGGGGAACAGGAGGGAAGGAAGGAGGGAGGAGGGTGAGGGAAGGTGGTTGGAGGGAGGGAGGAGGACAAAGAACGGAGGGAGGAGAGAGGAGGGAAGGGGAGAGGAGGGAGGAGGACAGAGGGAGGAGGGAAGGAGGGAGGTGGATGGAGGAGGCAGGAGGGAGAGGGGAGGAGGAGTGGCGCCAGCAGCCCAGCAGTCCCGACTCACCGGCACGTGGCGCACACGAAGCAGTCAGGGTGGTAGGTCTTGCCCAGGGCTGACACCACCTCGCCCTCGATGAACTGGTCACAGCTGAAGCAGCGGGTCCCGTATAGACGCTGGTAGTCCCGCGTGCAGATGTACTCTCCCTGCCGCACGAAGAAGCCACCCTCGGCCAGGTCACAGCCGCATGCTGGGGGGGGGAACACAGCGTTGGTGGGCTGCTGACTGTCCACCAGGTCCTGCCACACACAGCTCCCCCTTGATACAGGCCCCAGGGCAAATCTGGGGTGACTCATCGAACCCCCGGGGGGCCGGCTTCCAGGAACAGACCATGACTCTGGCCCCCCAGCCTGGTGCTGAGTGGACTTTCTTGGGGAAGCTTCCAGGAAAGTAGCACCGATCTGGGACAAGAAGGAGGCTATGCAAAGGGGCCAGCGCCTACGAGCCCAGCAGGGGTGGTGTGTGGATGCCCGCGAGCCCCTCCATGACTTCAATGGGGCTGTTCCCAGCAGGAAATACAACGAAGCAGGAAGGTGCTCTGTTCTGGATGGGGAGATCCCAATCCCGTGTGGTGGAGGACAGGTGCATCCCATGGTTGCCCCTGGGCGGCAGAGAAATCCTGTTAACCCCTCCCCGACTCTGGCCTATTTCCGTGTCCCAATGTCTGTCTCCCACAGTGCAGACAAGGCCAGACCTCCCACAGGAGGGAGGGAGACAGTGAACACTGGAACAAGAATCCTTTCTGGGCACTTCTACAGGTGGGGAATGGGGCGAGTTTCTCTGGACAGCCTGCCAGTCTGAGTGTGGGACACCCATGCATCCACCCCCCACACACACACCCTCCAGCCCAGGGGCACGTGGGAGACACACATGGTTTCAGAGGGAGCCGCCTCTACCCACCCTGCACCCCGGCCCTGCCAGCCGGGTCAGCCCGGGGTCCTTGTGGGTCCTAGCTGCCAGGCAGCATCCTAAAAACCATGTCTTTCCTTCCTTCCTGTCTCCCTTCCTTCTTCCTTCACCATGTTTTTGAATCAACAATGAAAATGCTTCATTGACACATCAGCTGATAGCAAAGGATGCTATTTCTGGTAAATTCTAAGGATCAGCATCTTGACATTTAACTCATGTCATCCTTTTGGGCACATCGAGTGGAAGGGTAGATGCCAAAGAAAGACCACCAACACCTCCTTGCAAAACCCAGAGCCGACTCTCGGTAAAAGCAGAAACTTCACCTTGTCCCATTTCTGCCTGGAAACCCATGTCCGCTCAACTTCCCTAAAGCACGGTGCATGGACATAAGGCCCCCGACGCTCATAGCAGCAGTGTCCACAGTCGCCAAACCCAGATGGCCATCGACAGAGGAATAGATGAAGAAGATGTGGTGTATATATAAAATGGAATATTACACAGCCATCGAAAGGATGAAATCTTGCCATTTGCAACGACATGGATGCAAGTAGAGGGTATTAAGCTAAATGAAATAAGTCAATCAGAGAAAGACAATTGTCATAGGACCTCACTCATAGGTGGAACTTAAGAAACAAAACAGGATCATAGGGGAAGAGAGGGATAAATAGAACAAGACAAAATCAGAGAGGAAGACAAACCCTAGGAGACTCTTAATCATTAGGAAACAAACTGAGGGCTGCTGGAGGGGAAGGGGGTGGGGGATGGGCAGTAAGGAGGGCACTTGGCGTAATGAGCACTGGGTGTGATATTAGACTGATGAATCGCTGACCCCTACTCCTGAAACTAATAATAATGAAAAAAAAAAAAACTAATAAGAAGAGTGGAAGTGCCACATTGTGCTCTCTACAACAAAATATTCCAGAGTCAACGTGGACACTGGTTTATTTGGAATTTCTTGTGGTCACAAGGCTCTAAACATTTAATAAGTTATCTGGATTGGGTTATTTTTTTCTCCAAAGATTAGCAGAAAGCTATCAAAATAACACAGACGTTATACATGTTGGCAGGTCAGTTGAGACACAAAGGAAAGCCTTCATGCATCAGCACAAAGGGTGGGAGTGACAGAGGGGAGCTCCCAGTGTCTGGTCAAGGGAGCCCAGAACAGGCAACCGTTCCCTGGCTTAGGGCCAGGAGGCCGGGAGGTGAGGGCAGCCCGGCAGCCCCAGCCCCAGCCCTGAGCCTTCTCAGGCAGGTTTCAGAAGCGCAGCTGTGGAAGGTTGGAGTCTGGAGATGGAAGCTCCAGGGAGTCGGGGTTCCCCAGGGCCCGATCTGCTCGGCCTGATCAGCAGGGGGCCCCCCTCAGCTCATGCCTCACTACTCCCTGCCCGCCACCTGTCCTTTCACCTGCCACCTGGGGGCCTAGGCGTCCCTGCAGAGAGGGGTGCACCCCCAGCTTGGCCCATCCCCCACACTAGGGGAGGCAGTGGGCCTCTCCAGGGTCCCCTTGTCCCCTTGCCAGGGCCACGGGGTGGCACATGCTTCTCCCTGTTCCGGACACTGGAGCGGTGTTCGGAGGAGATGTTAGCTCTTCAGACAACCAAGAGCCCAGAGGCTGGAGCAGCCTGGCTCTGGATCCCGGAGTCACCTGTGCACTTGGCTGTGCGCCCCGGGCAAGCTCCTGAGCCTCTCTGGGCCTCTGCAGCTTCCTTTGGAACCCAGCCCACTTCCAAAGTAAAAATAGCTGCACAGAAAAGCATCCTCTGAACCCCGAGTTATGCAGGGCCCCATCAAGGCTGTGGATGCACCCACGTCGCTCATCCCTGGAGGCTGAGGCCGTGGCCAGACCTGAACTCCCCACACCCAGCAGGAGAGTGTAAACCTTTGGTGTCGTCTTGTATCACGGTGCACGCCCAGCAGGGGTACCCCGACTCAGGAAGAACAGCCCACCGGGGCCCTGCTAGGCATCTTTTTCTGTGAAAAGATAGCCATGGAGCACCAGGAGGGCCCAAGGGTACCCAGACTTTGGCATCTGGCTGTCTTCCTGATCTTTGCAAGCATATGCTGGCGTACTCTGGATGAAAATGTGCCCAGGCATGTAGTGCCCTGCTGAGACCCCATGAGTCAGCATTGCAGACCCTGGGAGAGTCAATGCAGCCACTTTCCTGGCTCGCCTGTCCCCGCTGGTCAGCCCCGCTCCTGGCCGGCCTGCAGCTGCCCCAAGCTCGTCAGGTCATAGTCAAAACCCCGACCTCTGCCCGCTCAAAATCGAAACTCCAGATTAATTAGGAATCTAAAAATTTCTCATCAGGGCAGTCATGACATTCTATCTTCCCTGTCGAATTAGCCAACACCGATACAGGGGCGCGGAGCAGCTGTGGGTGACCCCGAGTGTCGGTCCCCCCCACTTCCCTGTGGTCATTTACGAGAAACGCTCAGGAGCGCGGGCAGTGGTGGGGAGACACTTTCTGGAACGCTGTTTGCCGCTGACTCTAAAGAACACGGAAACCACTTCTACCCTCTGACCATCAACCTCCTTTTGGGGACTTTAGCCCCAGGAAATGACCAGGAACCCCCAAAGAGTAGTTGTTGCTGCATTACACATCCTGGCACACCCACACTGGGTGTGAGCAACTTGACGTTGAAGCCCTTACAGGATGGGATCGTGGGCACAGAAACAGGGCTATGACATGACGTCCAGGTAAAGAGACTCACAGAGGAGAGGACGGGGGAGGCTGCACACTGAACCTGACAGGGATCCCCTTGGGTGGCCCTGGAGGGATGTGACCCACTATCCCCTACACCTCTCTGTGCTGGGGGATAGAAGAGGGAGCAGCTGGAGGTGACCCCACGGCCTGATCAGAATGAGCCAACCCCGGGGCTCATGGCCACGGCCAGCCAGGGCTTGCCCGATCCCTGCCCCCCGGGACCCTCCAACTGTACCAACAGTCCCCTGTTGCCAGTCTCATCCTGCCTCGTGGTCCATGGATCCTTGAGCACCTGCGTGGGTCTGACTGTGTGGAAGGAACGTGCCCTGGGCAGGCGGACAGCACCCATGTATCTGAAGCTTTCCTTCGGTTCTGGAAGCCCTTGGCTGGTTTCTCATAAATATTGCGGGAAGGCCCCAAAAGGAGAAAACGCAGGCACTTTTGCACCATGTTTGGCACATTTCTATTCGGTTTTGCAGCATGAGAATAGAGCTGACTGGATTTCCACTCCCAGCCAGAATCACACGTCCTCGCAGGGTGGACACGATGGGCTCTGGCCCCCAGGCCCTTCCCTGCACGCCCACTGCATGTCCACACAGCACCCCCAAAGCAATCTCTGGAAACAAAGGTGGACCAGAGCCCTCCTCTGTCCATCGTCCCCGGGTGTCAGAGCCAGGGGTCTCACAAGAACCCCCCTCCCCATTGCTCATTCTGCTCCGGCCTGTCCCTGAGTCCACCAGGATGCTCCCTCTGTCTGCAAGGCTCTTCCCCAATATCCCTCAAGTCTTCACTCAGTTCACCTCCTCCGTGAGGCCCACCCTGATTACCCAGTTGAAAATAGCAACTCCTCCCTCATTCCCATGCCTGCCTTTCCTGAGCCCCTCTTCCACGTTCCCTGTAGGGCACCTAAACAAAATGTATCTATCCTATCCAGTGTTTTATGGTCTGTCCCCCACACTAGGACATGATCTCCACAAGGACAAACAGAGCCATTTTGCTCATGAATGCCTCTCACACACCCAGAACATGGCGTGCATGCAGTAGGTGCCCAAGAGATCATTGTTGCATGAACCCCAAGGTTAAGAAATGTGTCTGAGACCCACATGAGCAGCGGTGACAGGGGTGAGATTTGTACCCAGATCTCCAGGCATCAAAGCCCAAGGCTGGAGCATCCATGAAGGAAGAGTATAATTACACAACCATTTCATGGATTTTCCCAGGTAACCTGGGCCCACCCATTAAGTGTCAAGGTGGCAAGAACCCATTACACTGGGGCCTCTGGTGAGAAGCTGTGCTAAACATGTTTACCTGGCAACATGCCCACCTGGGGACAGACGGGACTGGTCTCAGGGAGTCACCGCCCTCCTTTCTGGTCCTCTGTGCTGATGTGGGTGGGCCCGGGACCCAGTTCTAACCAATGAATCCTATTTGAAGACTTTGGGGGACCTTGGGGAAAAGGTTCTCCCTGGTCAAAGGGAGAATCATGTGAGGAGAGAGCCCTTTGCCTCCCCTCCTCTCCAACCCCTTCTCCTGTTGGATGCTACCCTGGGAGGATGTGATGCTTGGAGCTACAGCAGCCACTCTTGAGACCATGAGGAGAGGCACTGTTGCCATGCACGGGATGGGGGAGAGGGAGAGGGGATGGTGAGGGTGGGGAAGCAGAAAAAGAACCTGGTCTTTAAGGACCTTGTTGAGCTGTTACATTCACCAACTCTCAGGGGTTAAAGGGGCCACTTCCAGACTTCAGGATAAGACAATCAATATCCATGTTGCTTAAGACACTGTGAGTTGGGTATTCATTTTGATTCCTCCAAAAGTAGACTCAGTGATTCCTAGGCTTTGCGTTTTCATGAAAACCTGGATAAAAGACCAGTCCGAGACTGTGGGATTGTCATGCTTCAACAAACAAGGCTTTTCCCAGCTAGCAGGTAATCTAGAAACATCATTTCTCAGCCAGTGAATCAGGGGCAGCTCTGATCCCCATGGCCATGGGCACAGCTGGCAGGCATGGGGTGAGGCTGTACAACTGGCCTTGGAATGGGGCCCGCATGCCCACAGGTCCTGCCATCAAAGCCACTACCGCAGGAACCACGGGGCGGGGCAGCCGCTGTCACGGGGCCAGTCCCAGGAGCCGCAGGTCCCGCCTACCACCTACCACGAGGGAGGGAGCACAGCTATTCCCACAGCTGCTCAGGAGCTAAAGGTTGGAGGACAAAGTGATCTGGCCCAGATGACGCTGTGGGAGGTGGGAGGGCTCCTGGGGCAGTCCCCACCTCCCCTCAAACCTTGTGGGTCAAACCAGGACTCGATTCTGGAGTCTCATGCCTTCTCTTGCATTCCTAAGGTCTGCGCTTACAGACAATCCTTTTAAACACGGTGGCTGCTTCCCCTGTGCCTTTTGAAATAACCTTTTAAAAAGAGCATTTTAATGGATTTTGCTTTCCAGACACAGCAAATTTGTCTTTTGGAGAGTACAGAAAATTAAACCAGACAAATCCCATAATAGTCTGGGAAGCTCTGATGAAAAGGGAGAGATGCTTCAGGCAGGGAGAGGGCACTGACCATGGCAAAGGGTGGAGCACTGAACATGGGGGCGGGGTGTCAATGACCAGGGTGGGAGGGAGGGCACTGGCCATGGCGGGGGGATGGGGCAGTGACCACGGTGGGGGTGGGGCACTGACCACAATGGGGGGTAGGGCACTGGTCATGGGGGGGTGGGGCACTGATCAGGGTAGGGGGGCACAGAGCACAGTGCAGGGGGCAGCCTCAAGGACAAAGGCATTGTTCACAGGACACTAAGTGATTGCTAGTCTCACACCCTCACCTGGGGCTGCTCCATCCTTTCCCAGAAAACAGGCACCTCTAGGTGTGCCCCTCTGAAGGGCAGGGGCAGGGTCGCCCTCAGACTGAGGGTCTCAGGGCACTCCCATCCTCCGCCAGAGATAGTGCCACCCCAGAGGTCCCTGGCTGGGGGGCACCGGGGACATTCAGTTCTCCCCTGGGTCAGTGGCCCCCACAGACCCCCATGTCTCCCATGGCACTCTGCCCCTCTCCAATGGCAGGGGACTTGAGAGCCATTTCTGGGGTGTCCCCCCTCACAGCAGAAGAGCCCGGCCAGTGGTTCTCAAGTGTTCTTTCCAAACAATAGGACTCAACACGCAGTCTTCGCAGAGGGCCTGAAGCCATGGTATGGCGATGGGGCAGAGCTCCTCTGGGGCGGGGGGCTCACCCGCGGCCTCGCACCCCCACACCCAGGAGATGGCTCCACAGAAGTCTCCAAGGGAGTCAGCTGGGGCCACACCCAGGCCTGGCATCCAGCCGGGGACAGACTCCCCCATCTCCAGGCCCCAGCTGCCCCCTCAGCTAGCTGTTGCACATCGCTCCTAGGGCCGCTGGCACAGGGAGGAGGAGGCTGGGCCCCTAGTGTTGCCCCTCCCCCCAACAGCACTCTGTGGTCACACCCATCTGCCCCTGCCACCTGGACTGGCCTGGAACCCTCCGATCACCGGAGTCCTCCTTACTCCAAGTTAGATCCCAAACAACACCTCCCCTGCGAAGCTCTCTCTGGAAGCTTCCAGATCTTTCCCTGCCCCCGCCCCCAGCAAGGAAAAAGAGCAGAGGCCCAAGAAACTCACCTTTGCACACGAAGCACTCGATGTGGAAATACTTGTTCTGCACCCGCAGCACCTCCCCCTTGCACACATTCCCGCAGGTGTTACACAGGATCGAGGTGCTCGGCGGCTTCTCCAGGGGGCTGTGAGCGGCCTGCGGCTCCGACACTGCGTGGAAGGAACAAGGAACCACGTTAACAGTGGGGCACACACCAGGCACAGGGGAGCAAAGCAGCAGGAGCGTGAGGCCGTGGAGGGGGGCACCCCCCAGTTCAAGCCCCATAGGGGGTCGGGGACAGATGCGTCTTCTTTCCCAGGAGACCAAAGGGAACTGGATAATGTGAGAGGCCGTCTGGTCAACCCCCAGTGGGGGGGGGGGGTTGCTCCCCTGTATGGCATCCCCCCTGATGGGCCATCTGCCCCTGTCCAGGTCGGCACACATGCAGTGGCGGGGAGGTCACACCCCCTCCTAATGGGCAGCCTAGTCTCTTGCCGCCTTGACCTGGTAGGACTCCGGCTGGCAGGGCCTCAGAAGCAAAGCCCCCACCATGAGCTTGGCAGCCCTCTCTTCTGCGAGTACCAGGGTCTGCGAGTACCGCAGTCCTCCTTTGAGCTTGCTTCAGATTCCCTCTGCGTCCTGGGGCCATTGACTGCAATTTTGCTGCTGTCCTCCTCAAAGCCAGCCATGGCCTGGGATGCTTATGGAAGCGCTGGAGACCCACTGAGGGCCAGGTCAGGGTGGACGTTTAAAGGGCCCGGCCGTAGGGCTCTTGGGGTCTGGGGGGGCGTCCACATGCTCCTCAGCCACATCCTCCAAAAGTACCCTGTGACCCACGGCGGGTCTGCCCCCTTGAGAAGCTCCAGCCGGGCAGTGGAGATGCACCACGTGGCAGAGCTGGGGCGAGGGGAGGCCCAGGGGCTGGGGACCAGCAGAGTTGTTTGAAGTACAAGGAGAAGCTGGCTGGATGCTGGGCTTGGAGGTCAGCACGGAGGTTTGCCGGGTAAAGAGCATGGCCCATGCAGGAAGCTAAGCAGGCTGGATCCTTGGACCAACCCAAGAAAGTCAAATCTGGTGCTCCCCTCACCAGCCACGTGGGATGCCCCCTTCCAGCCTATCCAGGTCCCCAGCCCCCATCAGGCTCCCCTGAGAGCCCTCTTTCCTCCTCTGGGAACTCACCCCCCACCCTACAGCCTGTCTCTGGGTCTCTGCCAAGTGCGGGTGGCCAACCCCCAGCTCCAGCCAGCACTGAGTAGACCGCTTGGCTTTTCTCATGGGTGGGTGTCTTTACTCATTTCCCCATCTTCTAATACCACCCACATTTTGTTCTGGGGGCCCTGCATGAGGCCGAGCCAAGGACAGGCTGCAGGTGTGTATCAGGGTTGGCAGGTGGCAGGAAGGAGTGAGGGCACCTGAGGCAGAAGGTCTGCAGGTGCAGGTGAGCTGTGCACCTGGCTGCAGTGGAAACCCCAGGTGGGCTGGCCAAGGAAGCACCTGCCACGCTTCGTTGGAAGGTTATTCGCACATGCGTACCTATTTACACAACAGTCTAACGCTAGCTTTGAGCAAGCAGCAGACCTCAAGTTCTCCTCATCCCTGTCCGAGGAGACACTTGTCTACCTGATTTCCCACCTGTCCCCCACGCCCAGCACCCCGCCTCCCAGCAGCCCCCAATCTGCCAGAGCTGGGCTCCTCTCGGCTGTGGTCCCTGCCCGGGGTGCAGAGTTTGAGAGCAGGTGGCACAAAAGGGAGGGGCTGGGTCACGCTGGGGACAGCAAGCTGTCCAAGGAGGAGGCTGTGAACACCCCAAGGGCAGCAGAGTGCCTGTTGTCTGGGGACAAGAATGTGCAAGAACAGAGGTGAGCAGCATGAAAAGTAATTCAGCGTCTCCCTGGACTCTCCAGACCCAGAGTCAATGCCTGTCTCTGGTTTCCAGAAGAGTCACACTGGAGGGTGCAAAGCTGGGGAAGGGGTGGGGGGGGCTTTGTCTGCCCTCCTATGGCCCCAGTGACATTCTCCACTCTAGCTTAAATGCCAACCATAGGCTTGCCCTTCGCTTCTTTTTCCTGTAGAAAAGGTGCAGAAATGGCCTTACCTATTACTTAACAAAATTGGTGGAAGGTGGCATTTCCTTGGGCTTGAATTTACGACTCCCCGGGGGAATGAGCCACTGGAATCCAGGTTTAAAACCTGTGAACTGCCTGGGGCCTGCCAGGCTCCAAGTCACCCCATCCACCTCCTAGGCTCCGTGGAGATTGTGGGGGGTGGGTCGTGGGGGTGGGACATGGATCCTCCACACTGTTATCTTCTCATCTGTCCAGCAGACAAAGAACAATAGCCTATCATCTGTCCACGAGCAGACAAACAAGTTTTTATACTACTAGAATCTGGCTCAAGTCCAATACGAGCCGAAGGTCACCCAGCCACCCTGGGGGTCACTCTGAGCCCCGGGGGAGCACTGGCTGCAGGGGCAGATGGCCCAGGTGCAGCCCAGCTTCCCCTGCTGCGTGCTGTCACCTGGAATGTCCAGCCTTCCATGTGTCTGTCCATCCATGCGTCTGCCCTCCACTCACATCACCTGCCCTGAGGAGGGGGGCGTGTTTGCCAGGAAGATGGGCTCAATACACAATAGCTATTGTCATTCACAAAGACACACAGCCTGACACCACCAGTTTCCTGGTTACTCGAGGTCGATCTGGTCTAGTTTGGGGGAGCTGCTTTAAGATAGGCTTTGCTGGGGAGATCCAACTCTTGCCCACCTGGGGCATCCTAAAAGCCTCCCAGGATGTCTGGGCGTGAGAGCTGTAGTGCTGCCCTCTGGTGGCGGGAGGCAGACACTGCGCTGTGGGGATGGGTGGCAGGTGCCACTCTGCCCCGAGGAGTCCCATCTGGGCATCCCATACATTTGTGGCGGGAGCATCTAACCTCCCAAGGTGACTCATTCCTCGAACCTCTGCAGAGGCCCAGTTGAAAGAAATTCCCATATGTGGACTCGGATGGGGTGTGTCTCTGCGGGGAGCTGTTGTCCCTGCTGCGGAGGGAGCTGAGGCCCAGAGAGAAGGCCCAGGACCTGCAGGGGGCAACACCCAGGGTTCTCTCCAGGGGGTCGCAAGACAGGGATGGGCTGTTCTGGCCAGCCCTGGTGTCTGGTGTGTGGGTCTTACATAAAAAAAGGAGCATAATCAAGAAACCAGATATCAAGCCACAAAATGACACGAGGGACAGCCAGATGCATATTACTGAGGGAAACGAGCCAGTCTGCAGAGGCTGTGGGCTGTGTGAGTCCATCTACAGGACATTCTGGAAAAGGCAGAACCACGGAAACGGGAAAAACAATCAGTGATTGCCAGGGCTTGGGGGGAGGGAGGGGCGAGCAGATGGGGTGTGGGGGTGTTTAGGGTAGAGAAGCCACTGGGGTGGGACACGGTGATGTCATCCCACCCTTGTGGGAACCCACAGCAGGTTCAACCGTCACTGTGGACCGAAAAGCACTCTAAGGACTAAAGTCTGGGAAAAATGTTAAAAGAACATTTTAGAATGAGAAGCGGAGGGAGAGCTACCACACACCACCAAAGGCACAGGCTCATTTGGCTACGGTTGCAAGATGGGCTCCAACCTCTAGCTTCATGGGTCCCCCGCTGGGATAATAACCCAGCACGTAAACTCAGGTGGTAAGAACTGATCGCACAGGGCTGAGACTATTTGATCGCCACGTGATAAGGAAATCCTGGTCCTGGGGAGCCTTGCAGGGAACGGGAATTATTCCCAGGATCATCAACCTGACCAAGGGCTGGTCCCACGGTCCCCATCATGCCCTAGTGGCCCTCCAGGCTGTGACCCAGCTCTCTCCCCAGGAGACAGGAGCCGCGTGTTGCTGGGCCTGGGATGGAAGCCAGCAGGGCCGGGTGTGGGCTTGCGTCCACATCCGGGGGTAACTGTGTGACCTTGGAGAGCTGACCAAATCCCAAGAAGCCTCAGGTTTCACATCGATGAGCTGGTGCCTGGTCTCATGAGGCATTTTGTGAGACTCCATTAAAGGAGAAAAAGCACCCAGTGCAATGCCGGACAGGGGTCATCAACCACCGCTGCTGGCCTGGTTGTCCCCAGGCCCTCCAATCTCAGGGTCCCCCCTACCCCTGGGGATGGGGAGGGGAGGAGGCTATCAGGAAGGAAACCAGGAGTCCACCAGGGGCAGTGGGCGTGCCTTTGCTTACACGTCCACCTGTCAGGAGATCGTCCTAGATTTGCCTCCATGCTTTGGCTACCTCGTGATGTGGCGGAGGGGGACAGCTGTCCTGATCCCAGCAACGCCCCTTCCTAACCTTGGGCAGATCACATGCCCTCTGGAGCCTTTTTCCTCCTCCAGGAAATGGGGACAAGTATTCCCAAATGTGGGACCCTCACACAGATCAGACCAGACGACACGTGCGGAGCCCGTGACCCAGCTGAGCACCTGTCGTGTGTGGGGATGCAGGAGGCAGTGACAGTGATGGGGCCACAGATAGTGCCATTAGTGACCTACAGCAGGTGGGGCTCCTAACTTCGGCGTCTGCACCCAGCGCTTCACCCAGCGGTGCCCAGCACTGACACCATGAGCGGCCCCAACCCAGAGCAGAGCCAGGCCTCGCCGGCCCTTGGCTTGGGGAGCAGGGTCAGTGGCAGATCCCCACCAGCATGCCGGCTAACGTCGGCACCAAGCTCCGCTCCCTCGCCCATGTGGCTGGCAGGCGGGGCTCCTGGACACCGGGCAATGGGCTTTTTACCCTGATGAGCTGGGAACACACCTCTGGCCTCTTCACCCACCAAACCCTCCCATTCTCCTCTTCCCTCTGTCAGCTCAGCCCTGAGTGGGGCCACTTCCCACTTTGTTCTTAGAAATTCACCAACCTGACGTCGCTCTAGACGCCACAGCCGGATGCCGCATGTCTGTTCCTGTCATCAAAGCTGGAGACCCACGCCATGATAACGCCCTTGGAATGCATGCCCGGAGTGGTCTCCCTTCTCCCATGAGATCCTCCCCCGGGCAGATGCCGCTGTGGCCCTGGCCTCCTCCGGCCTTGGAGCATCTGGCCTGAGCCTTCCCGGTGCCCTGAGCCCCTGGAGACCACCACGAGTCAAAGCACTTCATTGTGAAGTCAGAAGTGCGAGGCGCTCAGCCAAAGGGTGCTCA